CAATCAGCAAACTTATTCGTGGCTTAGACAGCACCTTTCTTGGGTTCTCTAATAATGACTCTGTCCTTTGTTCTAGACCCTGTCTAGCCCACTTGGGTCTCATTCCTTTGTAACCATAGCCTCTACTCTACCACCAATGGCTCTACTCCCGACCTGTGTGTACTGATGGTCCTCTCCCACACCTAATGTTGTATGATTATTCAGAATTTCTCTACAGACAAACCCCTCTACCTGCAAAAGTTGAGTGGCCTTTCTCCCAGTCTTGGCTGGGATCAGATTTAAGCCACATCCATCAAACAATCCTCACAAGGGTCCAGAGACCCCCTCATTTCCTCTCCTCTATGAAATCCTCTCATTACCAGGTTAATGCCACTCTTAGGATCATTGGTTGCTACTCTCACCCTGACTTGTATACTACAGCGTCTGTTTAAGTGTTTACAGCAGGTGATAATGGAATGAACTGAGGCCTTCAGCAACCAGGCAGTCAACCAGATGCTTCTCCACCCATACATGCCTGCCCTGTGGAGCCCCAAGACACCCCCAGCGGGCCCCTGTAGACGATGTCCCCATCAGCAGGAAGTAGCCAGAGAGACTCATCGTCGCCCCCTTTCCTGTCATCAAAAGGTCGGGATGGTAGCTTTGGGATCCGCAAGGAGGAAGGCCTATACTTCCGGGAATGGAGAAGTACTTGTGGGGGAGAAGGTCCTTGTCAAGGTCCCCGCGGGTGCCTAAAGGTCAACCAGTGAGGGTCAGACCCGCCTCAACCTTTAACCCCCACGCCCTAATCTGTAAGGAGCCCTCCCAACCTCTGATGCGCGACTTCCCCGGCCCCGCTCTGTTGCTCTGTTGGGACCAGGGAACCTCGCCCGGGAGCGGAACCCCAATAAAAGCCTGTGAATTAATTGATTCTGCCTGGGAAGATTCGTTACGCGCCGGACACCTTGCGGATACGGCATTAGCTTTAGTTTAGTGGATTAAGGCGCTGTGGAATCAGACCTGAAGCTGACACTAGGCAGGAAAGACTGGAGCTACCTGAGAGGCCGGCTCTGTGGTGCAGCGGTAAAGCCGCCGCCTGCAGTGCCGGCATCCCATGTGGGTGTCGGTTTGAGTCCCGGCTGTTCCTCTTCCAACCCAGCTCTCTGCTGTGGCCTGGGAAAGCAGTGGAAGATGGCCAAGTCCTTGGGCCCCTGCACCCGCATGGGAGACCCAGAGGAAGCTCCTGGCTTCGGATTGGTGCAGCTCTGGCCGTTGTGGCCAATTGGAGAGTGAACCAGCGGGTGGAAGACCTCTCTCTCTGCCTCTCCTTCTCTCTCTGTGTAACTCTGACTTTCAAATAAATAAACAAATAAATCTTAAAAAACAATGAGCCAGTGTCCAGGAAATGGGACTCCACGGGCAGAGGTTGTGAGCGTGCCCAGAACCAGCTTTGCCTCAGCACTGTGGGGCCTGCCTGTGACCTTGGCTTTCACCGTGATGAAATATACTGCCCCTGTGGGGAGCAACTCGGACTAGACTGTTACTGGAATTAAGACTTATTCTATGCATCTGCTCTCCCACAATATGGCGCTGGGAGAGGAGGAAACAGCTTCTACACAGCTGCCTCCAGTTCAACCAATAAACTGTAGGACCTGCTCCTGAAGGAGGAGAGCAGTGTACTCGGCGTGTGGGTAGCAGAGTTGGGATTGGCGGAAGAGGACTATAAAGGAGGAGAGAGACAACATGCACCAGGAACATCTATCTGAATAACACCTGTGCAGCCCCCGAGAGAGCCGGCCGGCGGTGTGCCGCTCCCCCGCGGAAGTGGGGAAAGTGGCAGGGGGAACTGCCCTTCCACGGAGGTGGAGGATCGGTAGCCAACCCGGGAAGAACCAGCAGCAAACCCGGGGAGGGCCGAGCAGACAAAAGAACAGCGCAGGGTCTTGTGTCGTTCCTCTACGAAGAGGGGGAGCGACATAATGGTGCCGTGACTCGGATATGAAGCCTAGGCAGGGTCCTGTGTCGTTCCTCCACGAAGAGGGGGAGCGACAGCCCCCAACACACACACCCCACCCTGGTCCATGGGCCTCTTGTCAGGGTGCAGGGCAGTGGCACTGAGCGGTAGCACTGTGGTGTAGCCACTGCCACCACCCCTCAGCAGGACTTCCCCATCTTCCCACACCGAAACCCTGACCCCACACCAGCCCCTGGAGACTCCATTCCACTCTGTCTCTATGGTTGGACAGGGAGGGACCTCGTGTTTGTCCTGTGGTGTGTGGGTTTCCTCACTGAGATGACACCTGCAGAGTATCAGGTGTCCCATGGCGTAGAATGGCTGCGCTAGGCCGGCGCCGTGGCTCACTAGGCTAATCCTCCGCCTGCGGCACCGGCACACCGGGTTCTAGTCCCGGGCGGGGCGCCGGATTCTGTCCCGGTTGCCCCTTTTCCAGGCCAGCTCTCTGCTGTGGCCAGGGAGTGCAGTGGAGGATGGCCCAAGTACTTGGGCCCTGCACCCCATGGGAGACCAGGATAAGTACCTGGCTCCTGCCATCAGATCAGCGCGGTGCGCCAGCCACAGCACACCAGCCGTGGCGGCCATTGGAGGGTGAACCAACAGCAAAGGAAGACCTTTCTCTCTGTCTCTCTCTCTCACTGTCTACTCTGCCTGTCAAAAAAAAAAAAAAAAAAAAAAGAATGGCTGCGCTGTGCTCACCCACCCATCTGTGGGTGGACACTGGGGTCACTCCCACCTCCCTGAGGTTGTGCATGAGTGACCTATGACCTTCTGTGAACTGGAGCTGCTCCACATGGCCACGGCGTGCTCTTGCGCTGTGTGGGCTGCTGGGTCAACCAAGCACATCGTGCCCAGTCTGGAACCTGGCCCTTGATCTTTTTGATGGCCCAGGAAAAGGTTTGAGGTCAGAAAAACGTTTTTTTCTCATTTCAAAGCAGAGCAGAAAGGAGCGCTGCAGGTGTGGAATTTGATAGGACCCAGGAACAGGCTTTTCTCGTCTGGGCAGTGGCTGTGGACTGGGACTGTTGGTGTCTCCAGAGTCAGTGGTGGGGGTGTCTGAGACATGTGCCCATCACTGTCCTGTCAGTTTCCCACTTCAGGGCTGCTGTGGCTGTGGGGCTGTTTGCCCAGAGCAGCCACAGCCAGAGCCCAGCCCTGCAACCGGCAGACTCACAGGCAGACCAGTGGGGGTGCGGACTGGAGGGGCGGACAGCCCCTAGACTGGTTAGGGGCATACTTGGCATCTCCGGTTGGCCCTGCATTGGAGGTGGGGCAAAGACTCGGGCGTCCTGACCACCCAAAGCTCCGCTGTTAGGCTGTGGGTGCTGCCAGCTTATTCTCCTGGGGTCCAACCTCACCCTAAAAGCAAAGCCCGAGGAGAATGTGTTTGGTGCAGGGGTGAGCTGCTACTCTGGGCTCCCTCAGCCTATGTCAGAGGGCCTGGGCTGGGTAGCTTTCTCATCCCGATTCCAGCCCCTGCTAATGCACACATTGGGAGGCAGCAGGTACGGCTCAAGTACCTGGGCCCCTGCCATCCACATGAGAAATCTAGTTCTGGGCTCCTGGCTACGACCTGGCCCAGCCCTGGCTGCTGCAGGAATTTGGCGAGTAAACTAGTGGATGGAAGATCTGTTTCTCTCTGCCTTTTTTTAAAATATTTATTTATTTATTTGAAAGAGTTATACAGAGAGAGGAGAGGCCGAGAGAGAGAGAGAGAGAGAGAGAGAGAGGTCTTCCATCCGACGGCTCACTCTCCAATTGGCTGCAACCGCCGGAGCTGCGCCGATGGGAAGCCAGGAGCCAGGGGCTTCTTCCGGGTCTCCCATGTGGGTGCAGGGGCCCAAGGACTTGAGTCATCTTCTACTGCTTTCCCAGGCTACAGCAGAGAGCTGGACTGGAAGTGGAGCAGCTGGGACTCGAACCGGTGCCCACATGGGATGCCGGCACTTCAGGCCAGAGTGTTAAACCGCTGTGCCATAGCACCGGCCCCTCCCTCTGCCTTTCAAAAAAATATTAATTGAATTTTTAAAATTAAAAGAAAATCTTGAGACAAAATAAATTCAGGCATTTATTTGAGCAAGGAACAATCTAGGAGTTGGACACAGTCAGAGCCAGGGCAGCTCAGCTGAGCCCTGAGCTCGCTCCTGAGTGCTGTGCCCCCCAGCTCTGCAGGGCGCGTTCAGAGGAAACTGCCTGGGCGTGGCGGCCGCCATCTGCTGCTGCAGCAGGCTGTGCCGTGCCTCTGTGACGCGTGGCAGCTGCCAGTTCTCTTGCTTTTCTCCACATCTTCACTTGTTTATGACAGCAGAGAAAATAGGGCTCTGGATTTCTATTACTGTGTCCTCTTTTGAAATCAATTCGCAAAATTCTTTTTTTTTTTTTTTTTTTGACAGGCAGAGTGGACAGTAAGAGAGAGAGACAGAGAGAAAGGTCTTCTTTGCCGTTGGTTCACCCTCCAATGGCCACCGCGGCCAGCGCACCGCGCTGATCTGATGGCAGGAGCCAGGTGCTTCTCCTGGTCTCCCATGGGGTGCAGGGCCCAAGCACTTGGGCCATCCTCCACTGCCTTCCCGGGCCACAGCAGAGAGCTGGCCTGGAAGAGGAGCAACCGGGACAGAATCCGGCGCCCTGACCGGGACTAGAACCCGGTGTGCCGGCGCTGCAAGGCGGAGGATTAGCCTAGTGAGCCGCGGCACCGGCAATTCGCAAAACTCTTGAACACAAGTCTCGGCTGCTCCACTTCTGATCCAGCTCCCTGCTGATGGCTGGGAGAGCAGCCCAAGGAGACACACGTGGGAGACCCAGAAATCCTGGCTCCTGGCTTCCGCCTGGCATTGCAGCCACCTGGGGAATGAGCCAGCGCATGGAAGATAGATGTCCATCTCTCTCTCTTTTCTTCTCTGCAACACTTTAAAACATAAATCTTTTAAAAATCAACATTTAAAATCAAATCGATCAATTTTCTTTAAAAATCCATTTTGCAAAACAAAGACAGTGGGCGGGGGGCGGGCCAGCCGTGGGAGGCAGTCCCAGGACTGCAGGGCGCCATGGCGGGCGCTCTCCGGGCACTGCTGCTGCCGCTGCCGCTGCTGCTGCTGCTGCCCGCGCCCGCGTGGGAGGAGATTTCATCTCACAAGGTGAGCCTGGGCCCCACGGACCCCCACCAACACGTCCCCCCCCCCAGACTTCCGGGCAGGAAATGCAATTCCTGCGTGACAGACGGTGGCTTCCGAGCCCGGGTAGGCGGTGGGCGCCTCCCTGTGGGGGCTGGACGCAGGGGACAGCACAGCCCTGTGGCTCAGGTGGGGCCCAGCTGGGAGTGATCTGGGTGAGTGGCTTCAGCAGTGAGGGTGGCGTCTGCTGCCCCCACCCACCCAGCAGCGAGTCTCGATGCTCCCCGACATCAACCAGGGTCAGTCCTGAGGGTGCAGGGCTCCGAGACCCCCAGGGCCTGCCCGCCCCCAGGTCTGCTCAAGCTTCAGCCGGAGAGGTCGCGTTTAGAAATGCGCTGGGCGGACGCCTCCCTGGGTCACTACCACCCGGAAACCAGCTCCCCAGCGGCGCAGGGTGACGGCCTCCTTGCTGGCCCGATGGCGCGTGGAGCGTGGCTGCCCCGCACGCTCACCTCCGGGGCGCAGCGGCCGCCCGGGCTGCCTCAGAGCTGGGTGAGCACAGGGCGCAGAGCCCCTCGGCACACAGTCGGGGGCTGCGGCTTCTGCTGGCGCCACGTGCGTGGTTAGCGCTGCTTCCGGGACCCAGGGGCCGTGTGCTGCCGTCCAGGGCCGCGCTTGCTGGGCCACCTCCTGGTGGGGACGGGTGTCAGGTGTCCCGCCTGTGGGCAGGCGCTGGGCAGCAGCGTGGTCCCGGTGAGTCCCCGCCCTGGGCCTCAGTTTCTGCTGTGCGATGTGAGACTGGGGGGGGGGGGGTCCGGCACAGCAGCTAAGGCCCCAGTACCCCAGGTCGGAACACCGGCCGAGGCCCAGCTCCACCAATGCGCGCCCTTGGAGGCCGCACTCCATGGCGGTCCCTGCCCCCCCCCCCCCCCCCCCGCAGTGGGAGACCTGGCTGCAGCCCTTGGGGGAGTGAGCTGGGGCGGGAGCTCGCTGCGTCTCTGTCTTCTAAGGAGATGAGGCCTTAAAGAACGGCAGCGGCAGCTTGCAGCGCTCCTTGTCCATGCCCTCTGCACTGCCACACACACACTCACACCACCACACCACACACCACACCACACATACACACCATACACACACCAACCACACATCACACACCACACCACACACACACCACACCACACACACCATACCACACACACCATACCACACCCACCACACCATAACACACCCACCACACACACCATACACACCATACCACACACACCATACACACCACATCATATCACACACACAGACCATACACACACCAACCACACACCACACATACCACACACACACACCACACACACATATACCACACACACACCATATCATACCACACACACACACACCACATACACACCATACACACACCAACCACACATCACACACCACACCACATCATACCACACCAAACACCACACCACACCACACACCACACCACACACCACACCACACACACCATACCACACCCACCATACCACACCCACCACACCATAACACACCCACCACACACACCATACACACCATACCACACACACCATACACACCACATCATATCACACACACAGACCATACACACACCAACCACACACCACACATACCACACACACACACCACACACACATATACCACACACACACCATATCATACCACACACACACACACCACATACACACCATACACACACCAACCACACATCACACACCACACCACATCATACCACACCAAACACCACACCACACCACACCACACACCACACACACACCACACCATACCACACACACCACACACACACCACACTACACACGACTCAGTTTCCCTTCTGGGCACTGGCTCCTGCTCGCAGCCGCGCCGCTGGGCCTCTGGCCAACCAGGCCGTCCCGGGTCGTCTCAGCAGCCTGTGCGGGAGGAGGGCGAGGCGGGCCCGGCCTGGGCGGGAACCAGGGCCCGCTGTTTCAGAGCATCGGGGAGTCCTGCGAGAAACACGCCGAGTGCCAGAGCACCTGCTGCGCCACCAACAGCCTGAACCCCCAGAAGTTCTGCACCCCCAAGACCATCTTCCTCCAGTGCCTCCCTTGGCGCAAGGTGGGTCCCACCCCTCAGCAGGCAGGCACGTGCGGGGGTGGGGTCCTCCCCACGCTCCCCCCTGCTTCTGGAAGAACCAAGGCCGGGGGTGGCCCGGGGGACGGGGCAGCCAGGGCAGTCTCTGCACGCAGCCCGAGGGGCACAACTGCTCGGACCGCACAGAGTGCCGGAGCGACTGCTGCGTCAGGAGCAGCCACAGCCCGCAGAGGCTCTGCACCGTCAAGACCATCTTCCTGCAGTGCGTGCCCTGGCGCAAGGTGAGCCCCGGGCCGGCCCGGGAAGGGGGCGGCTGCGGCGGGGGCAGCGCTGACATGTGTCTCCGCAGCCCAACGGCAGCCTGTGCCGCAGCCGCGGCGAGTGCCGGAGCCAGTGCTGCATCCAGCTGGCCGAGGACAGCCCCAACCGCTGCGTCCCCCGGAGCGGGATCCTGGCGCAGTGCCTGCCCCTGGTGAGCTCCCCGGGCGGATGGGGCTCAGCCTCGAGTCCCTCCCCGGGGAACTGGGGCCCACAGATGACATCGGTTTGCCCACGGTCCTGCAAACCTGAGGTGGCAGCAGAGCTGGCCGTGCCCCTGCGAGGAGCAGCCGCTGCCCCGAGCCCAGGGGAGCTTGTGGGGGGCTCAGAAGAAGAGACAGGCTCTGACCTGGGCCTTCTGGGCTGGGCACTGCACCTGCACAGGGACCGACAGCCGGTGGCGCCGAGGCGTGGCAGGACCCCAGGGCGGGGGCCCCTGTGGGTGGAGAGGCCGACTGAGGGACCTGGTTCTGGAACTGGCGAGGACTGGAGAGGGCAGGTCCAGGCACACTCATGCATGTGTGCGTGCATGTACACACGTGTGTGTGTCTTTGTGCATGTGCACACGCGTGCACTTTTGTTGTGTGTGGTTGGTGGAGGAAACCAGGGCCTCCCAAACTCCCTCCTATGTCTGGTCCCTTCCCTCCCCCACTGGAGTCACTGGCAGTCCAGGGGCAGCCCTAGGGGCTCAGATGTGTGGGCAGGGAGAGGCCCGCAGGGCCTCGGGTTCTCACTGCAGGCCTGGGAGTGCTGTGTGGGGTCCTGTTTCGACACAAAAATCTCTAACTTCCATCTGGAGCGGGAGGAATCTGATACCCAGAGATGTGTGTTTATGTGTCCACCAGGCCAACAGACCGCAAGTGTGTGTGTTTGTGCCTGGTCTGGGGCTCAGGTGCCCGTTTGCTGAGAGGACCAACCAGGTCCAGCCCCTACCTCTTGACCCTGTCAGTGCCTGAGAGACCTGCGGTGGGGGCCGCCTCCCTCTGAACACTTCCTGATTCTGAGATTTTCTTCAGTGACGTGCGCTCGCATCCAGGGAGACGACCCGGCCTGGACCGTGGCAGCGCACGCCTGGGCTGGATGCCAAGGAAAACTGGTCCCAGGCAGGCGGCTGGAGAGCAGCAGGCTTCATGTCCTAAATAAACGGCGCCCGCCACATGAGCACGCTTTGTCACCGCCGTTCCCTTCAGTGAGCCGCTGTGGGTGACCCGGCCTGCTCCCCGGAGCCCGTGCAGCCCGGAGTCAGGCCCGGGAGAGCAGGGCACAGCTCCCCTCCCCCGCTGCCGGCACTTCCACAGCAAGGGAGCCAGTGTGCGTCTGGTAGAAACACCGAGCTGGCGTCTACACCGAGAGACGCTCCCCAGGGTGTCCCACAGCCGCCACAGCCGCCACGGCCCCCACAGCACAAGTGCCCAGGTTCAGGACGTGCGAGTGTCAGAGGAGATGGGTGGAACTCGGGGTCTCCATGCGAGGCAGACCCGGGCGCGAGGCAGACAGCAGTGGGGAGCGAGGGCCACTGGGGCCGAGAGAGCCCGGCCGTTAGGGCTGGGGTGAGCGAGGGCCCCCGACGGGCCGGGCGGGCGGCAGGAGAGCGCTGAGCCGCAGCCTGGGGCCAGCCTGGGCCAGTAAGGAAGTGGGGTCCAGGTCTCCCCGCCTCCCTCTTCTCCTGGAGAAGGGTTTGCTGGGAGTGAAGTTGGTAACACTCCTGCCTGGTGGGGTGTCGCGAGCTCCTACTGTCCCACAGCTGGACAGTAGCGAGTACGACGTGCCACTTGTCAGTCATGGGGAAGAAAGGAACACACGGACACAAGACTCTTTCCGATGAGAGATTTTATGGCTTACGCACCAGGGTTTCTTGTCACACTACTCATCAGCACGCTCACTGAGCTCAGTACACTTATCAGTACCAATATACTCATCAATCTACACTAATCAATACACTTATCAATAAACTCAACACCACTACTTAATGTGACTTAACTACTGAACTTAGCTACCTAGCTTAACATAACTACTCAGCTTAACTACTTGGCCTAATCACCTAACTTAACATAATTACTTAACACACTTATCAATTTCACTATCAATAATGTCAATAATATCACTTATCATAGCTTATAGCTGACTTAACACACTTACTGAATCACTTAGCTTAACATAACTACTTATCATCTACTTAACTCACTTACTATAATACTTAACTACCAGAGTAACACTATCTCCTTAATGACTAGAGGCTACTGGAATCAACACCATTAATATCAATAGCAATGAGAGTACTAGAACTTATTCATTAATCCACAGATCACAGTGTACAGTGTTAGAGTAATTTTGAGGGCTATCCAGTTTTAATAGTATATGTACATCAAGGTCTCCAGCATTATTTGCAGATACCTCGCATAGGGTCAAAGCATAGTTCTATTATATTACACATGACTACCATTATTTGTAACAGCTGCGTTTTCAAGGCACGTATCACGGTCACGAAAAAGAGTGTCAGTGTTCAAGGGCCAGAGCTCCATGTCTCGGCAGAGGCGGATCTCGGATCAGTCACTCACAGCAGGAAGTCGTGGGAAGGCTGTCACTCTGGGCAGCAGGCTCAAGGTTCCAGGAGGACAGCCAGGCGAGAAGTTGGAGAGGTCCCCTGCTGAGAGGCCTGGTCCAGCTCTGTAGTCAGGTCTGGCAGCGGGCTGAGAAGGACTCCAGGCAGGGCGGCGAGGTGGCGTCTCAGCTGGAGTTTTGATCCCGGAGTCGCCTTGTGTCACTTAGCAAGTGGCTAGCGGGCTGGCTCTTTGGCTCCAAGTGCGAGGAGACCCAGAGGTTCGCACGCACTGGGCCAACGCGCGCGCACACACACACACACACAGCGGGGCTACAGCTCAGGGACAGCTCTGCAGGTCGGCTTGTGCCGCTCCCTGCTCCCTGCAGAGTAGCGGCTGCCTCTTCCGCTCCGGATGTGTGGAGATGCAGGTTCACACACACCGGGCCATGATCCCCGAGAGGACGGAGAGCGATGCGAGGGAGGGCTCCCTTTTTATCCTCACTTCCGGCCGTCCTCCAGCTCGCCATCCTCCGACGGGTCCAGTCAATGCCTGTTCCTCCTTGCTTGCAGTTGAGCAGTCCAGTCAATACTGCTCCCCGCCTTACTCATGTTTGAACTGTCCAGTCGGCGTGGGTAGGAGGGCATTGTCCACAGCACTGTCATCTGACTGACCAGAGACGTCTGCCTGCTATGGTTAGGAGCGTCTCCCTAGAGCCCTTAGACATTGCTCGGGCTCCCGACTTCTAACTCCACTTTACTTTCATTTGGTGGCAGTGGTGACTTCTTAACTCAGTGTTTTACTGGGTTTCCACAGTTCATCTCCTGTTCAGGTAAGCGGTGACCCGTGACTCTTGTTAGATTCCTGTGGGATTCTCTGCATGGGGGCCTGCCTGGCTGTGGGCAGAGGGTTCTCCTAGGGAGCCTGCCTGGTGGGGAAGGCGGGGCCAGCTCGACCGTGGTCTGGGTGCGGGCAGGACTTTATAGTGTGAAATCCTGGGCTGCTTCCAAGGTGAGCCTCCCAGGCTGCCAGGGGCTAGGGCCCCTCCCCCACTCATAGGCTGAGCGTTAACTTCCTGCCTGACACCTACAGCCCCTATCAGAGAGCCTGACTCAAGTCCTGGCTGCTCCATTTCCGATCCAGCTCTCTGCTGTGGCCTGGGAAGGCAGGATGACCCAAGAGGAGGATGACCCAAGTCCTTGGGCCCCTGCGCCCACGTGGGAGACCTGGATGGAGCTCCTGGCTCCTGGCTTTGGCCTGGCCCAGTCCTGGCTGTTGTGGTCATCTGGGGAGGGAACCAGTGGGTGGAAGATTCTCTCTCTCTCTCTCTCTCTCTCTCTCTCTCTCTGTCACTCTGTTTTTTCTAGAGTGGCTGCTACCACTGTATTCTCAGCTTCCCCCGCCCAGAGTGACACTGCAGCCGTCCTCCTGGGTGTGGCGCTGTGTCCCCTTCCCGACACCTTCATGGGGCCTGGCTCCCCTCCCTGCCCACTGCCGTCCTGTCTCGTTGGCCTGCCCCGTGGAGCTCAGCAGGCTGGCTCCTGCCTCCGGGCTGTGCCCTGCGCCTGCCAGGAATGCCTACTCCCACCCCACAGGCCCCGTGCCCCCTCCAGGCCTGCAGGGAGCCCCCTCACCCCTTCTGCTCCTTGTCCCTCATGCACTGCACAGTTTTCCTCTGATATCTTTTTATTTTTTTAAAAGATTTATTTATTTATTTGAAAGTCAGAGTTACACAGAGAGAGGAGAGGCAGAGAGAGAGAGAGGTCCTCCATCCGCTGGTTCACTCCCCAATTGGCCGCAACAGCCGAAGCTGAGCCAGGAGCCAGGAGCCTCCTCTGGGTCTCCCACACAGGTGCAGAGGCCCACAGACTTGGGGACATATTCTACTGCTTTCCCAGGCCACAGCAGAGAGCTGGATGGGAAGTGGAGCAGCCGGGACTAGAACTGGCGCCCATATGGGATGCCGGCACTGCAGGCCAGAGCATTAAGCCGATGAGCCACAGCGACAGCCCCTCTGATATCTTTTAAAGAAAGATTTATTTGAAAGAGTTGCACGGACAGAAGAAACACCACACACACACACACACACACACACACACACCCCTACCTTCCATCGCTGGTTCCCTCCCAAGTTGACTGCAATGGCCAGGATTGAGCCAGGCTGAAGCCAGGAGCGTCATCAGACTCCCACATGGCTGCAGGGGTCCAAGCACTTGGGCCTTCTTCCACTGCTTTCCCAGGCCATTAGCAAGGAGCTGGATTGAAAGTGGAACAGCTGGGGGAAGGGGGGGGGGCAACGCTATGACGCAGGGCGTTAATGCCCTGGCCTGAAGCACCGGCTTCCCATATGGGCACTGGTTCTAGACCCAGCTCCTCCTCCGAACCAGCTCTCTGCTGTGGCCTGGGAAAGCAGTGGAGGATGGCCCAAGTTCTTGGGCCCTGCACCCATGTGGGAGACTCAGAAGAAGCTCTTGGCTCCTTGCTTTGGACTGGCGCAGCTCCAGCCATTGTGGCCAACTTGGGAGTGAACCAGCGGATGGAAGACCTCCCTTTCTCTCTCTCTCTCTGTCTCTGTCTCTCTCTCTCTCCCTTTCCCACTCCCTCTCCCTCTCCTTCTCTCTCTGTGTAACTCTGACTTTCAAATAAATAAATCTTTAAACAAACAAACAAAAACAAATTAACTACTCCTGTAGATCAAGTCTGTAATCCTGACATTTTAAAAAAAAAAGGAAAAAGAAAGTGGAGCAGCCGGTACATGAACCAGCAGCCATACGGGATGCCAGCATTGCAGGTGGCAGGTTTACCCATTACGCCACAGTGCCATCCCTCCACGATGCCTTGTGAGGAACAGGGCCACATGGCTAGTGTCGTCCCCATTTGGCTCCTCCTCATGTCCCCAGCAAGGAGAACCCAGGAGCTAGTGGGCAGGGCCCCTGCAGTTTCAGAGGTGGCCACCTGGTGGCGACATGGCCTCAGCTGAGAACTCAGGGCTCCGACCTCCCCAGCCAGCCCAGGGGAGATGCCAGGTGCAGTCACAGGGCTGCACAGGACCCAGGGACTGCATCCCATGGGCACCTCCCGCCCAGGAGGGCCAAAGCCAGAGACCATGGGGCCCTGGGCCATGGGAGGAAGCAGGCGGCCAAGTTCTCCAAGCTCCAGGTATTGCCACACCCAGTTCTGGGGGTCATCGCCTCTGTGTCCCCGGGTACCAGGGCCGGCCTAGACTCTGTCCCAGCCCCTCCCCACTGGCGATCTGCGGGGCTCCTGGTTCCCTGGAGGCATCTGATGCTCCGCCCAGGAGCCGCTCCCTCCAGCGCAGCACAGCCGGGCTTTCGTTCCCAGAAAGTATGACAGCTGTGCTTCTGGGAAGAGGAGCAAGGGGGTGCCCTGACACAGCTGGTGGGCTTGCAGGGGCAGGGGAGGGGCTGCAGACCCCAGCCCCACTCCCTCTCACCTCCCGCCAGCCCTAGAAAGGCAGGGGAGCAACCCCAACCCAGGATTAAGAACCTGTATCCTGGGGCCGGTGCCGTGGCTCACTGGGCTAATCCTTCACCTGTGGTGCCAGCATCCCATGTGGGTGCTGGGTTCTAGTCCTGGTTGCTCCTCTGCTGTGGCCCGGGAAGGCAGTGGAGGATGGCCCAAGTCCTTGGGCCCTGCACCCGCATGGGAGACAGGGAAGAAGCACCTGGCTCCTGGCTTTGGATTGGTGCAGCGCCGGCCATGGCGGCTATTTGGGGAGTGAACCAATGGAAGGAAGACCTTTCTTTCTGTCTCTCTCTCTCTCACTAACTCTACCTGTCAAAATTAAAGAAAACAAAAACAAAAACAAAAACCAGAAACCACAAAGAACCTGTATCCTGTGGGGCCCCGGCCCAGCCCCCGCGGTGGAGGGATGTGCTGCACAGGGAGCAGGCCCCTGCGCCTGGCACACAGCAGACACGGAGGAGCGCTGGGACAGCCCCTGCACACAGGGTCCCCTTGCTCCTCTTCTCCGGGGTCTCAGCTTCAGGGCGGAGGGCGGGGGGCCGTGGCCGCCCTGCTTGCAGCTTCAGTTTCCCTGAGTTTCATGGGAGGAGGCACCACATGGCTGTCACTGGAGGGCCGGTTCCGTGCCCCGCCTGCCCTCTTGCCCCCGCGAGGAGAAGTGACGAGAGGAGTTTGCTTTCGCAGAGCCGCCTTCAGAAGTGCACGGCTGGCTTCGCCCTTGCGCCGCCCAGAGTTCGTGCTGGGAGGATGCGCTCCCCCAGCTTCTCCATGCAGCCCTGGGCCTCAGGGGAGCCGCTGCCCAGGCCCAGCGGCCGCCGGGCCTCACTGGGAACCCCCAGGGAGAAACCCAGAAGCCTGCTCAGAGCCGAGCCGGCACGCACGTCCCCTGCCTGGCCTCTCGTGTCGTCTTTCTTCCTGGTCACCTTGATCAGAAGTCATCGCTTTTAACGATCTTCACAAAGAACCTTGGCTCTTTCCTGTTGCCAGTGCACTTTCTCGGCTGTATTATGTCCTTCCTGCTGTCTGCTTTGGATTGACTTCCTTTTATTTTCAAGGGTTTTTTTTTTTTTAAAGATTTATTTTATTTATTTGAAAAACAAAGTTACAGAGAGACGTAGAGAGAGAGAGAGGTCTTCCATCCACTGGTTCACTCCCCAGTTGGCCGCAACACCCGGAGCTGTGCCGATCTGAAACCAGGAGCCAGGAGCTTCCTCCAGGTCTCCCACATGGGTGCAGGGACCCAAAGACTTGGGCCATCTTCTGCTTTATCAGGCCGTAGCAGAGAGCTGGATTGGAAGAGGAGCAGCCGGGACTCGAACCAGCGCCCACATGGGATGCCGGCACTTCAGGCAGTGGCTTGACCGGCCAGCACCGGCCCCCAGAACACTTGTTTGGTTTTTTTTTTTTTTTTTTTTTTTTTTTTTTTTTTTTTTGACAGGCAGAGTGAACAGTGAGAGAGAGAGACAGAGAGAAAGGTCTTCCTTTTGCGGTTGGTTCATCCTCCAATGGCTGCCATGGCTGGCGCGCTGCGGCCGGCGCACCGTGCTGATCTGAAGCCAGGAGCCAGGTGCTTCTCCTGGTCTCCCATGGGGTGCAGGGCCCAAGTACTTGGGCCATCCTCCACTGCCTTCCCTGGCCACAGCAGAGAGCTGGCCTGGAAGAGGGGCAACCGGGACAGAATCCGGCGCCCCGACCGGGACTAGAACCTGGTGTGCCGGCGCCGCAGGTGGAGGATTAGCCTAGTGAGCCGTGGCGCCGGCCAGCACTTGTTTTATGAGACAAATTGCACACCTTTGTGGTCAAGTTCTCTGTCCCCTGCAACACACCCTCCCCGTGCCTCGCTCAGTCCTTGACACAGAAGCACCAGGCACTAAGCCCCACCAGCAGGTCCTTGGCCCTGGAGAGGACTAGCTGTGCCCGGGACAGAGGTGTCCGGTTTCACCTGGGACTCCTGGAACTACGGCGATAAGCCCGCAGGGGACACAATGGCCCACAGGGAGCCACAGGGCAGGCCGCCTGCCGCTCACCTCCACCTCTCCCTGCACAGGCCTCGCAAGTGCGGGCACTGCCTGCTTCCAGCCAGAGGAGGCGGGCGGCCCCTGGAAGTGTAGAGAAACCTGCACTGGAAGACAGCTCAGGGCGCTGATGGCGCGCTGGCCGCTGGCCAGGCACAACCTCCCAGGCTGCCTTGGGGACACGGGCTGGGTGGCAGGTGCAGGGGTTGATGCCTCTGTGGGTGTCTTCAGAGTCGTGCTAGCTGGGAAGTCAGAACTGACCTCCGTGTGTGACAAGGGCCTAAGGAATTGACCTCTACAGCAGTCCAGCTTCCGCATCTCAGTCACCCCATATCTGCACTTCCAAGTCCTGCCCGGACCCTGATGACCTTGGCAGGGGGGGGTCTGGTGGGGGGGTCCCGCCCCTTCTACCTGGCCTGATAAGCATCCTTCCTCTAAGGCGGGCACCCCAGAGGGGAGCTCCTTGGCCAACGCCAGCCAGGCTTCCCCTGTCTGACAGCTTCAGGGGGAAACTCAGAAAGGAATTTTTCCTACTTACACCCAAGAAGTCCTCTGTTCTGGAGGAGAGGGGGAGGGAAAAGGCGGGAGGCAAGACCCAGCCCCTTAGAAACCCAGCCTAACTGAACTGGGCACTCTCTCAGGTCCTGTCTGGAGCGGAAGCCCGTCCCTACCCTAATAAACCTTGCTTTCCGCGGCTCTCTGTCTCACGCCTGAATTCTTTCTTGTGCGAAGACAAGGACCCTCAGCTTCTCTCCAGTGACGGCAGGTGCAGTGGTGCGCCTTCATCTCATCATCAGAGTGCCCGGTTCAAGTCCCAGCTCTGCTTCCAATCAAGCTTCCAGCCAACGCACACCCTGGCAGGCGGCAGGTGACGGCCCAAGTGCTTGAGCACCTGCTGCCTACACTCTCAGAGAGGGTGCTCCCAGGACAATGCCTCCTCAGAGAGAGAGGTCCTGGGCTGGTCCCCCCACCCGAGAGAATGATCTGTCACTGGAGGAAAGGCTGTGGGAGCCTGGGGTTCTTGTCTTCACGCAAGAAAGAATTCAGGCGTGAGACAGAGAGCAGAGTGATAAGGCTTTATTGGGGACAGACATCCTCAGAACGGAAAGGAAGGGACAGAGTGTCCGGTCGCTCCGACTGGGGGAGAGCGAGGTTACAGGGTTGAGTGGAGAGAACACACCTGGGCAGGCCAGGCGGGCGGCTCAGCAGAGAGCAGAGGGCTGAGCGCGCAGTCTGTTTGGACTCCCTGGGTTTTTAAGGGAGTCTGTTTACCCACCTGCCCCTCTCCTCCAGGACAAAGGATGGGGAGTCCTGGCGGAAGGGTTTGTTGGGTGAAAATTAGCAAATTCTTCCCCAGATTTGCTGGTACCAGGCTTCCCTTAGGGGCCTGTGAAGCTTTTACTGCCCCGTGTTATCAGGTCAGGTCCTGAGAGAGAATTCTGGGAGCTTTCCTTGGGGGAAGGGCTGGGGCCACCTGGGAGGGGTGGGGTGGGGCAGGACTTTGGGGTGCAGGCTTCCAGAGCTGGTGCTGGTCTCTTCAGGCCCCTCTCACACACACAGGCTGATTTCTAACTTCCTGCCTAATGGCTGCTGGGTGGTGTTGCCGGGCACCGTGGGCGGGACACTCCTACACAGGAAACCCAGCAGTGACCTTCGGCGGTCAGGGCCCACGTGACACCTGGAGGGCCCAGTGGGCATCACAACCAGCCACTGCCGGCCACGTGTGTGCGTGGGCAGCCCACAGTCCCGGGTGGGGACGTGGCGTGGGGCCTGGGCTGGGCACGCGCGATATTCACTGGCCTCAACAAACACTGGACCACAGCTTCATCCCAAATCAAGGCTGGTTCATCTTCCTAACAGACTGCAAAACCAGCCGAGTCCACAGGCGTGACCAGGCTCAGCAGCCACAGAGCCGGGAGGGCAACACCAAGCCCTCTTCCGTCATCAACCTCCGACATGCACTTCTAGAACTCTCCCTGCCTGGAACTCAGAACACACAGGTGCCCCAGAGCTCGCCGGGGAAGTCATGGGCACCTTCTCCCCCAGAGGGCGTGTGCACAGTTGAGGCAGGTTTTGTGCACGTTGAACCAACCAGGAGGGTTCTGCAAGGACGACCTTGGTCAAGAGCTCATGACCTTGAGGGAATTACATCCACACACTGCACTTTTTTTTTTTTTTTTTTAAGACAAATCCCCAGGGCCGGCGCCGCAGCTCACTAGGCTAATCCTCCGCCTTGTGGCGCCGGCACACCGGGTTCTAGTCCCGGTTGGGGCGCCGGATTCTGTCCCGGTTGCCCCTCTTCCAGGCCAGCTCTCTGCTGTGGCCAGGGAGTGCAGTGGAGGATGGCCCAGGTGCTTGGGCCCTGCACCCCATGGGAGACCAGGAGAAGCACCTGGCTCCTGCCATTGGATCAGCGTGGTGCGCCGGCCACAGCGCGCCGGCGGCCATTGGAGGGGGAACCAACGGCAAAAGGAAGACCTTTCTCTCTGTCTCTCTCTCTCTCACTGTCCACTCTGTCAAAAAAAAAAATAATAATAAAATAAATAAAAATAAAAGAAGACAAATCCCCAAAAGAACTCCTTTTCCAGTTCTGTGTAACAAAATCAGGCAAAGAACAAAGTTGTGTCCATTCTTATTAATTACCATTTTAATAGAGATCTGTACGGGCTCCAAGGGTGGGGGCGGGCCTGAGCAGGCCTCACAGTGCATTGGACAAAATGACCGTTTTTTTCCTCCATAAATAAGACAAAGAAACCCGGGAAACTGCAAATCCCAACTAAAAATTAAGAAGCAAAAGTTTCTTTTTTTGGTTCTTTTAAATACTTAAAGAGCACAAAATTAAGAAAAATACAAATCCATTAAAAATGCTTTTCACCTGTGGGGAAAAAGGTACAAACTGTTTTCTGTTTTTTCCCGATAGCCTCATCTCAAGCTCTGAGAACGACCCCCGCCCCAGAAACGCTGTGTCGAACCCCCGACTCCGCAGGCCGCGCGGGCCGGCGGGAGCTTCCGATCTCACAGCGGCGCCCCAGTCTGCGGCAGGCACCCGAAGGGCCCGCACCGCCTCCGGGCCGGGGGCCCGCACTACCGCGCCTCCACCTCCTGCGCGCTGCGGGCCGGGGAGTAGTCGCGCGCCTCGCCGGGCCCCAAGCCGAGGGGCGCAGTCCGGCTCCGCGCGGGGGGCGTGGGCGCGGCCACCAGCGGGGGCGGCGCGCCCAGCGCGGCCGCGGCCGGCGGCGTCCGCGCTAGAAGCCCGCTGTGCAGCGCGGCGGCCGCGGGCCCGAGGCGCGGGTAGTGCAGGGCGCCCGGTGCGGCGCCGTCCAGGGCGGGAACCGCGGGCGGCAGGTGCGGGGCCCGCGCGCGCTCCGGCTCCTCGCGGCGCGCGTCCCGCAGGCGCTCGGGGCTGTAGTCGTGGGGCTCGCGGTCGCGGTAGGGGCGCTCTGAGGGCTCCGGGAGCGCGGCGGGGCCGGGCGCCCGCGGCAGCTCCAGGCCGCGGTAGGCGGTGCGCAGCGGCTCCCACGCGAAGCCCGGCGCGCTCAGGCGCTCGCGGCTCAGGCCCAGCTGCAGGGGCGCGGGCAGTGCGCGCGGGCGCTCGGCGGCGCCAGGCGCGGGGTGCAGGCCGTTCCCCACGGGCTCGGGGACCGCCTCGTCCTGCCCGTGCTCCTCTTTGACCTTCACGTCGCCCTGGGACGCGCCCCTGCCGCACACCAAGGGCGCGGGCGCGCGCGCCGCCTTGGCACAGTCCTCCCTGGCCGGGGAGCGGCTCTCCTTGACCCGCGGCTCCGCTTCGCGCTCCCCGGGGATCCCGGGGCGGAGCAGGAGGCTGGCCATGGGGAGGCCGCTGGGGGCCGCAGGAGAGGCTCCGCTGAGCAGGCGCGGCTTCTCCAGGAGGTCCCTGGGGCGAGAAGACATCACAGTCCCCTGAGGTTCCCTTCCAGTCCCCCATCTGTACCGAGCGCTCGCTGCACCCACGCAGGCCCCTAAACACCCCCAGCTTCCCCGCCTGGGCGACCACCGGAAGCCCCTCGGGGTCACCCGCCCTGCAGTTGCTTCCCGCCCCGGGCGCGGCGGGGGGCGGTCCCACTCTGGGTCGAGGTCTGGACCTGGGCCGTCCAGGCACCGGGCGGTTTTCCGGGCGCGCCCCCGGCTGGGGAGCCCCTCCCCCCAGGGGCCTGCGCTTCCTCGCAGGACCCACTGGAAGGCAGAGCTCGGGCCTGACCCCCGCTTTCCAACTCACCGCTCCTCCTGGCCCTTGTCCAGCTGCTTGGTCAGGGCTGGGACGCGCTCGGCCTCCACGGGCTTGGGCCAGGGGGGTGGTGTGGGGAAGGAGGCCGGCGCCCGCTGCAGCCGGTTCCACGCCTCGTGGGCGCTGGGAAGGCTGTGCAGCGAGGAGCCGTCCTTGGAAGCAAAGACGCTGCTGCCTGGAGCTGGGGGGGCGGGGGGCAGAATCCAGGGAGCCAGGCTGACCCCCCGCCACGCAGTCCCGCACTCCCACGGAGGCAAGCCCGTAGCCCCGGCTCACTCACTCAGTGTGTGGCTGCCCAGGCCCCCGAAGGCGTGGCTGCCCAAGCCGCCCAGGCCCCCGAAGGCGCTGGATCTGCTGAAGGGGTCTGTGGGACAAGCAGTGTCAGGTGTGGTGGGAGTGTAGCTCCCAGCAGGCTCCACCAGGCCAGTGGGGGTGGCCGCTGCCCCCGGAGCCTGGCAGGTACACTCTGCCCACCTCCCGCCCCTCTCCCGCACCCCAGCTCTGAGGTCTGCCTTGAGGACACCCACCTGTTGTCAGGTGAGCAGGGGGCAGGAAGCTGCCGTGATGGGCTCCGAACGGGGTGGTGGCAGGGTGGGTGACACCTGGGTGGGGGGTAGCCAGGCTGACAGAGGCCCAGAGTGTCCTTGGGGTCTCTGCTGCAGTGTTACTCATGGGGTGGGGGTGCCCCAACTCCCTCTACCTCCCACACTCCCACCTTCGCCCACTGCAGAGGCGTGTCCAGCCAGAACAAGTGGCAGGACAGTCTCCTCCCCCAGTTCTGGGTGCTGAGGGGAGGAGGGGCCCTGGGAGGCAGCCTTGACCCAGCTGTTCCTGGAGCTGCATCACTCGGGGTTTCCAACACAGGGAGTGCCAACGATGCAGGCTGCTGCGCTCAGGGGCTGGGCCCTCCTCCGGACAGAAAGGGAGCGCATGGCGAGGCCCCTCCCTGGACGCCCTCAGGCATCGTCTGCCCCATTCCCCAACCCAAGACCCCCAGGGCTGGATGTGGAGAACAGTGGAAGGGTCACTGAGGGAGGACCCAGGCTGGCACTGGGGGCGCGTGGCCCTCACTCTAGAGGGTGCCTGTCACTCTCGGGACCCCTCCCCTACAGGCCCCCCCAGTGGTGGGCGGGGCACACTCTGAACCTCTGGTCAGCAATGCCCCTGCCAACAGAGCCAGAGAGAGCAGAGACCACGGCATACGACCCGGCAGCAATGAGGACTCCAAGGGGACCCAGGAGGGAGGGGGCAGGATGTCAGGGACAAGGCCCAGACCCCCACGAACCACTCACTCAGGACAGAGGGCCAAGTCACTAACGTGGGACCACAGAGGAGACCCGGACCCCGGGCCAGGTGGTATGAGACACGGGTGGCCACCAGCTGCTGTGGCGAGGACGCAGGGCCCGGGCTCATCCTGGCTCCAGCTTCCCCACTAATGTGCACCCTGGGAAGCAGCCAAGAGGCCCAGGGCTTGGGTCCCTGCCTCCTGCATGGGGAACCCCGCGAGGCGCCTGGCCCCTGGCTCCAGCCTGGCCAGCTCTGCCTGGGCTGGACGTTTGAGGACTGGATCAGTGAGTGGGAGATCAAAGCAAAAAAACCAAACCAACCTGCAAAAGCCACACACACACCCCCGCCGAGGAGTGGGCTGAGTCCTGCCAGCCTTCTCCACGGCACCCCCGAGGGTGCCGGGAAGCCCTTGCCTGGATTCAGGTGCAAACCCAGAGAAAATGGCTGCCACCGCCACTTGGCTCGTTCGCCACCTGCGCATTGGGATTTTGGCCCCGTGTGGCAGAGAACCCACTCGGCTGCTGCTCGCTCACAAGAACTGAGCCAGACTGCTGGGCGCAAACCCCGTGTGCGAAACAGAAGCCCCCGGAATCCGCCTGTGCGTCTACCCAACCAGCTACCCACCACATGTGACTCATTTATTTATCTAAAAGAGAGGGAGATCTTCCATCCTCTGGTTTATTCCCCAAATGCCCTCACCAGCCGAGGGTGGACCAGGCCATAGCCAGGAGCCAGGAGCGCCATCTGGGCCTCCCATGGGAGTGGCAGGGGCCCCAGTACCTGAACTGTCATTTGCTGCCCCGCCAGGTGCTGGGAGAAGCCGGGTCAGGAGCAGACACGGGGGCTACACTGGAGCCCGGGCTCCGACACGGGACCTGGGCACCTGCTGCCCAGGAAATGTGACTTGAAACGCCAATCAGGACATCAGCACAGAGTGAAGAAGCCAGGTGGAACCGCTGGCTCCTCAAGAAACAGGAGCTAACCCTGGCTCAGGACAGAGGACAGGAGACGGGCGCGCTCCGCCCAGGTCGATGCACACCTCCCCCCCAAGTCCGGGGAGATCCGCGGTTACCACGGGAGCTAACAGGCAGATGTATATTCCGAGGACCAAAGAGAAGCGGGCACTGGCTGACCTGGGAGTGAGCACCCCGGGGGAGGCCGTGGACCGAGGGGTGGCGTCTGGCCGCACAGCGGGGCTGCACCCTGGACAGAGGAGTCCTGCCTCAGGAGGCCCAGGCCATGGGGAGACCGCGCAGCCTGGAGCCCACAGGAGCACTGTGGGTAGGGCTACAGGAGCCCCCACCTTTGGGAAGTCGACCCTGGGAGGCAGCGGCCCCTCCTGCCACCCCAGTGAGGGCCAGAGGTGGACAGACAGGCCTGTCCTCAGGGACTACGCTCGTCTGTGCACAGCGAGGTGTCAGGAGGTGGCCAGCACACTGGAGAGCTGGGCGGGAGGCAGCCAGAGCCCACACACACAGGGACCCCAGGGCGGGCCTGCGTGTGAGCGAGGCTGGCCCCGGCTGCTCACCCCTCAGGGGGGTAGGGACAAGGAGGCTCTGAGCCTGCGCCCGGCTCGGGTCAGCACCTTTGTCCCCCGTGGCCTGGGGTGCAGGTGGCCCTGAGCAGCCCCTGGCTCGCTGTGGGCCTCACAGTCACTGCTGGCCAAGGCCAGGGTCACACAGGCTGTCCTGGACCAGGGTGAGGGCTGAGGCTGCTGGGGAGGGGGTGTCTCAGGAGCACTCTCCTGCCCCCCAGGGAAAAGCCACACTTGCTTCCAGGGCGGGAGCTCCCCTGGGAGAGAATGGCCAGCAGACGAGGGCTGCAGGGAGTGGGGGTGGCAGCTACGAGGGCCCTGTCCACCCTGCCCCAGGCCTCACCCGTGCTGGAGAACAGGGGCCGGGCCAGGCCCTGCGCGTAGTGGAGTCCGGGGCACCCACCCGTGGTGGGGGCCCTGCTGAGCAGGTCCAGCTTGGAGCCCACCTCCAGCTTGTGCGGGTCCAGCTGCACCTGCAGAGAGGACAGGGTGTGGCCAGGGCGGGCGGGGCCCCGGGCCGCGCAAGGCAGCCCTGCGTGGGAGAATCTGATTGCTCTCTGATCCGGCACGCCCAGGTGTCCTAACAGCCGGTCACGAGCCTTAGGGAATTTTACTTCTCATGTCAGAGCTCGGACACCTTGAGCACATCTCAAGTTGCGTGCCATTCTCACTGGAAAGATTTCCTGCTCGGGTTCCGTGGAGTTCAGCTGGAAACGCAGATCCCTGTCCTGCTGAGTCTCCCAGGCCCAGGACCGATTTCAAAACCAAAGTTACCGATTGTGTACGTGCAGGGCTCGCCACTCGGCGCCAAGGCTGCCGGCACCGCGGGATCCGGAGCTGAGGGTTGCGGGGCTGGGACCAGGCGCCCCCTCCTGGCTGCACCTGCCTCGAGGCCGTGTGGCCTGGCGGCGCTCACCCCCTGCAGTGGGTCCTGGCTGCAGGGAGCCTTGGGCAGTCAGTCATGCTGGGGGGCCCTGGCCACGGGGTCTGACCTCAGCCGAGGCAGAGCCAGCTCTCAGGAGACCCGCACTGGACGGTCACTCCCCAGGGGCGCACCAGGGAACAGGCCCTGGGCCAGGCCTCACCTTCGTCTTCTGCTGGTGGTGGTAGATCTGCCAGGCCATCTGCACGTGGACCGCACACCACTTTCCTGGCTTCTGCGACAGGTCGGATGTGCTCAGTGGGGGCCCAGCACCCCCTCCTAGATTCCTGTTGTCTCAGGGCAGTCCCAGGGCCCCCCGCCCCAGGCCCCTCCAGAGATGCCACAGGCGCCTCTGAGGACACGCACAGGTGCTCACCCTGACGGCCGTCCGGTACGGGTCTGACACCTGTGGTCACAGGAGAGGCAGTGAGTCCCCGCCCACTGGCCCACGGGGGCTGGGTGGGGCAGGGTGGACACCTACCCCGGGGGCTTTCTGCAGGAGGGCGTGGACAGCACTGGTCCGGCCTGCTACCTCTGTCGGGTCTGAAGTCTGTGGGAGAGAGCACATGGGCCAGGAGAGAAGCAGTGTGTGTGCTGTGGGAACAGGCGCCCTGGCAGCAGAGGCTGGGGGTGGCCCTGTCCCTGTGGGCTGTGGCCCGCCCCTAAGCCAGGCCTCAGTGTCCAGGTTTGGGGACGCTCTGTACCCACAATGAGCCACACTCACCCCATCTCTGGGAGCATTGAGGCTGGGGAGCCTGCCCGCCCACCCTGGACAGCCCGGAGGCCTGGGTATGAGGTCGGGGCTGTGGGAGCCGGGGACAGCCCAGGACAGGGAGGACATGTGCCCCTCCCAGGGGGCAGGAGGCAGGAGGGGGCAAGGGCTGCAGGCGTCCCTCCCCTGGCTGCCTGGGCCCCTGCAGTGCAGATGCCCCTGGGTCGGGGGCTGCTTCCTGCCAGGGGCCAGGCGCTTGTGTCCTGAAGTCAATGCAAGCTCCCTCCTGTGTGGACGCTTCCCGCCCAGAGCCCCCAGGTACCTTGGGCCCTCCCCATCACCAACGCCACCACGCCATGCCCCCACCTGCTGTGCCCATCCCAGCAGCTGGTACCTTGGGTTGAAAAGCTCCCTGCAGAGACCCAAAGGGGCCGGACTGTGGGAGCAGGGCAGGCAGCCCTGGGACAGCGGGCGAGAAGGGCGGGAGGAGCTGCAAGGGAAAGGGGCTCATGGTGGTGGCCCCAGCCCCCCCCCAGGCCTGCGCGCCCCGCCCGCCCCTCCCTCGGCACCAGAGCCACACAGACAGGGCCTCTGGCTGGGTGTGGTGGTGCCCAGGGGCTCACACTGATGGCTGGTGGCCCCAGCTCCCCCCCCCCAGGCCTGCGTGCCCCGCCCGCCCCTCCCTCGGCACCAGAGCCACACAGACAGGGCCTCTGGCTGGGTGTGGTGGTGCCCGGGGCTCACACTCACACTGGAATGTTGGAAGTAGGAGCTGTCCAGCTTGGACACGTACTTGTCAAACTGGAAGGAAAGAGTGGGGGGTGAGGCCTCCTCCCACTGCCGGCTGCCCTCACAGGCCCCAGTGCCCAGCCACTCCGGCCAGCCCTGGCAGTGACCAGGCAGGCAGCCTGCAGCCTGCAGCCAGCAGAACCTTGGCCTTGGACAGCCCCATGGGACGCAGGCTCACAGGCCAGGGCAACACCTGCCCATTCGGAGTCCCCCTGCGGAAGTGGGGACTCGGCCACTGGCAGGTCTAGGTGCGAGGCTGGGGGACAGGGTGGATGTGGGGTGTGTCCAGGCCACTGACAAATTGGCTGGTCTCCTAGCGATGCTGTGGGGAGCAGCCGGCTGTGAGACAAGGCCTGGGGGCCTCGGACCCGAGGCAGGTGCAGGCCCCGTCCCCGCAGCCCCTCAGCCCAGCCTGGGCCTCCAGACCTCCAGTTCTGCTGCAGGGTTCGGTGTTCAGGGCTCAGCGGGGAGGGCACTCTGCCGGGCCATGGACACTGGGCACATGGCCAGGCCAGGCCAGCGGCCTCCTGGCGGGACTCAGACCACACAGAGGCAGAGGCCGCCGGCCCCACTTCCTCCTCCGGGGCGGGAGCGGGCCTGCATGTGTGTGTGTGTGTGTGTCTGCGTGTGCCCGCCCGCCCCGCCCCGCCAGCACCAGGGCCTACGCACCGGCGGGGGTGCGGCAGGTGGCGTCGGGGGCAGCCCTGCGGGGAAGGGGGCGAATGTGTGTTGGTGCGTGTGCTGGTGCGTGTGCGTGTGCTGGTGCGTGTGCTGGTGCTGGTGGAACTCCGCCCGCAGCAGAGCTCCGGGACCCAGGGAGAGGCCAGGCCGCTCGGCGCTCTGCACCAGAAACCGCGTGTTCAGCTCTTGCCTGAGCAGCTCGTGATCTACGAGAGAAAAAGAGAGAGAGACAGAGAGGCGCGTCGGCCGCGGGCTCCCGGCGGGCTGAGGCGGATAGTCACCTGGCACTCCCGGGCTCGGCAGGCCAGGCCGTGGTGGCTGCTCACTAGGCGCGGGCCCCAGGGTGGGGGGAAGAGAGGAGCCTGCGACCAAGTACCAATCAGAATCCCCGCGTGCGGCTGGCAGTACACGGCTGGCGGGCGGAGCGAGACCACCAGGCTGGCGTCTGGGGGCGAGAGAGAGGGAGGGAGAGAGAGGACAGTCTTGATGACTGGCCAAGCGCGAGCCAGAGAGGACAGGCTGGGCAGGCGGGGGGCTTGGGCCTGCCGTGCCCCTCCCCAGGGGACCCAGCCCAGCCCCACACCTACCGGCAGGGTGTCCTGGGATGACCAGGCTGCTGGCGGGCAGTGCCGGGGGCGGGGGCAGCGTCGGGGGTGCGGCGAACATGGCCGCGTGGTGCTGGTGCTGTGCCTGGGGCCGGAGCGCCAGGTGTGAGGTAGAGAGGTGGGGGCCCGGCCCGAGGGGCGACAGCGACGCGTGCTTTGCCAGGCCCAGGGGGGCACCGCCCGCACTGCTGCTCCTGCTGCAGGGACACGGGGCTCAGGGCTGCCCGGGGCCCCGCGCCCCGCCATGGCCCAGCCCCCTGCCAAGGCCGGGCCCCCGGGCCCCGCGGCCCCCACACCTGAGGCTGTGCAGGCTGCTGGGAGCAGCCTGGCCGGGGCCCGCAAAGGCGCCCAGGGACGGAGGCACGTGTGCTGGGAGCAGGCTGTGGGGCTGAGGGGGCGCGGCTGGCGGCTGCGGGGTGTGGAGGGGTGCGGTGGGGGCTTCCTTCTTCACCAGGGGGGGGCCCAGCGGTGCAGAGGTGGGCACGGGGCTGGGTGCTGGCGGGAAGGACTCGGTACGGAGCTCACGGCTGCGCTCAAGGCCTGACACCGTGGGGGCCTCGGCCTCCAACTTCTCGCCACGCCCGGGACCTGTGGAGCAGGCTGTGTGGCCAGGCGTCTTCCTGTTGGCCCACCCCCACTCTGCATCGTGACCTGCGCCCAGCCCTGCCCACCCAGCCCCTCCTGCCACCCAGGGTGGGCTCAAAAGCACCCAAGGACCAAGAACCTCCAGGGCCAGCCCAGCACCCTCCCCTGGGGGACCAGGCACAGAGAGGTCACTGAGCCCTCAAGTGAGGCCCTGCCCCTCCTCCCCCCGCCCAACACCTGCCCATCTCCACCTCCGCCCCAGCTGTGGCTCCTGCACAGGGCCCGCTTCTCCTTCTGGAACCCGTGGGGGCAAAGGGATGGCTCCCTGGGAGCCTGCGCAGGTGTGCTGCGCCCCCTCCACGGGGTCTGCCCTGGGGCCGCGCTCACCTCTCTTGGTTGCTGGGGCGAAGAGCTTCTCAGAGCCCACGGAGGCCTGAGGAGGGAGAAGAGGCTCAGGGGCCGGGTCTGGGGCAGCCTCAGCCTTCCACCCCCAACCCCCACCCAGCCCCTAGGGGTGGGCTGCGGGCAGCTTCATGCATGGTGGGGACCCTGCCAGGTCTGGCAGAACACGCCGCCCACGCCTAGGGTAGACACTGTCAGTGCTGGGTGCCCGGCAGATGAGCACAGGTGTTCAGGCCAGTGGGCAGGGGATGGAGGGTGCCACGCCCCCAGCAGGGCATGTGGGGGCTGGGGGGGTCAGGAACCTGCAAATCCCCCCAGGACCTGCCGGTTCAGCTGGAGGGGAGGATGGAGGCCCTGGACGTGTCCCACGCCCAAGGGCGGCAGAACCGCAAGGAGCCGGGTGCTCTGCTCCCCACAGCCGCTGGCACCGTCCCCCGCATGGGGGACCTCGGCCACAGGGCTGCTGACCGGCGCCATCCCTGTGTGTCCACTGGTGGTCCCGTGTGTGGGAGGACTTGGTAAGGACCCACGAAGTCGCGTTTTCTGGCTGCTGATGGGCAGCTCCCTCACGGGCTGTGGGGGCCTTAGGGGGCTGGTCACATGGTGAGGCCCTGGCCCGCTCGTGCTGGCAGCGTGTGTGGCGGGGGACAGCTGACGCCTGCGAGCCCCCCGAGGACCCTCAGCAGTGAGGAAAACAGATGGCTGTCCGTGTCTATTCCGTCCAGCTGACTTCCTGAATTTTTCAAAATAACTGCCATCTACTGCTTTGGCCTAAATGCTCACAACAGCCAGGGCTGGGCCGGACCTGGGACTCCATCCAGGTCTCCCACATGGGTGGCAGGGACCCAAGCACCTGCTGCCGCCCACGGTGCACACTGGCAGGAAGCCGGGTCAGAAGCAGAGCCAGGGAGGCCGGCATCTGAGCCACTAGACGGAGAGCTCTCCCCAGCACTCTGCTGGGTCACACGCACAGGATGGGGTCGGGTCAGGGAGCCCAGTTTCCCAGGCCCCTCTTCTGAGCTGCATCGGCCCCCAGGCCCTCACTGTGGCGCCGCGGCCGGGGGCGGGGCCTGGCTGCCCCTCTGCTGGCAGCTTCTGAGTTCTGTTGCCCTCACTGCCGCTACTGCTCTGACGCGCGGGCGACGCTGGATTCCCTCTGCTTTGTTGCTGGGGCAAAGCTGGGCGAAGACTCCCCAGTGTCCACCAGCAGCGCCACAGATCAGCAAGGAGTGCACAGCCATAAAGCAGGCGCCTCTGCAGTGGACAAGACGAGCTACGGACAACGCAGGAGAGCCGGCCCCGAGCACGAGAAGCCAGCACAAAGGGGCAGCTCCACAGCCCCATGGGCACTGTGAGCAAAGCAGGGGGCACAAGTCCTCTGTGTCTAGCGGCAGGTGCACGTTATCACACGGGAAACCAGTCGATGGGGACGGGAATGCGGACCCTGAGCAGGCTGGGGTGTCGCAGCTGGGGGAAGGGGTGGTGGGAACCCCACTTCCTTCCCAGTCTCAAAGCTCCTCGGGCAAGTGAGGCTGGGAGGGCAAAGCCCCCGGATCTGACTGCAACCCGCCACGCACCCCGTGGGAGTGAGGAGGTGGCTAGGGCAGCAGGGAGACCCGCCCAGCCCTGCCTGGAGCTGGCCACAGGGGTGCCGAGGGCACGCAGGGACGGCTCTGTGTCCTGCCCCGGACGGCCGCGGGCACTCTCAAAGTGAGGGCCCCCAGCACACAGACCCCGCCAGCCGGGCGGGGACGACCTCACACTCGCCCACACCCGCCCCCCTCCAGGGTCCCAGCAGCCCGGCTTCTCCTCATGCCACAGGCTATGTGGGTTTAGGGAAGTGGAGTCCTGGTGCTGGCCCCATGGAGCTCCCTGTGGGGTGAGGGGTGGCTGGCTGAGGGGCAGCAGGGGTGGGGACGACAGACAGGACTCCGGCCCAGGACTCCAGCCGCCTGCACGCTCTCACCCTGACAGGAGTCCCCACGGCTAGGGCTGGTGAGGCCTGGGGTCCCCCTGAGTCACTCAGGTGCCAGCAGACCCCTACCCCCCAGCTCAGCAGACTCCTTTCCCAGGAGAACCCTCCCCCCTCACTGCAACTCCCTCCCTGCCTGGGTGGTCCTAAGAGGGTCCTGAGTGTGGGGGCGTGGCCTTCTGTGGACGCCCCAGCCCCCACCCCCTCCTGCCCTTGCTGGAGCCCCCACATAAGTGACCATCCCCAGGTCTGCTACAAGTGAGGCTTGGAACTGACCAAGAGCCCCATGTCGGTGAGCAGACGGGTCATGCCGGGGTGTGTGAGGAGCAGCAGGTGCAGCCAGGGCACAGGGGTGGGGGTGGGGGCTCCCTGGGTGTCCCTCAGGCCATCTTGCACCTATGCTGTGGCCAGGCTTGCCTGTGTGGACAGCAGAGATGAGGCCATCGAGCGGGTGCCCTCGCCAGGAGTGACCCTACCCCCTCCCCATCAGCTAGGGCTGCCTGCAGACCCCCAGGCTTCGTGGCGCCAGCTGCCAATCCCTGGTGAAGAGGAAGGCCCATGAGTGCATTCCCCTCACAGCAACAGTGACCGCACAGTGCCTCCCATCACCGCCCCTCTGGGTGGGCACAGCCCTAACTGCGCAAGAGCCTGGAAGAGGCCAGCCCCCATCCTGGCCAGGGCCCCCTGGTCCCTGCTGCGGTGTTGAAGCCCACCCTTTCCAGGGGCACAGAGGCCAGCAGAGCCCAGAAGGCGGGGTCATCAGAGCTGGCTCCCAGCAGCCATGCACACAGCCCCAGGTTGGTGTTGCAGGAAGTCTGGCCAGGGAGGCTGACCTGGGGCAGTGTCCCGGGCTCTGCATCTGCGGGCCTAAACACCTGGCCAGGAGCTGCCCTACTACCCATGGGGGCCATCAGACTCCAGGTCCCCAGACCTCTCGGCGGTGGCCCAAGTTCCAGCTCCTTTCTGGAGGAGGCACAGGCGATGTCGCGCCCCTAGGCTGGTTCCGTTCTCCACTGGTGCTGTCGGGACTGGCCGGCTGGCCCGAGCAGCCACTAAACCTGCGCCAACTTTCCTTGCACAGTGCCTGCAGTCTCGGCTGAGCTGGTGTGGAGGTCGCTCCAGGCCACGCACGGCTGGGAGATCCCCACGGGGCTCTGGGGCTCGGTGGAGGGGCCTGCCCGGCGGGGAGCGCTGACCCCGGCCTCGGGCGCAGGTCAGGAGCGCTTTGTCTGCGAGGACCGGACCCGCAGGGCAGCTCGGCGCAGACGCGCGGCGCCCCAGACAAAGGACTCAGCTCCAGGCAGGTGAGCGCGGCACCGGGAGCCCGGGGCGGTCCGCGCCGGGGCGCAGACAAAGGCACGCGACGCGCCCCTCAGATGCCCGGCCCCCAGCACCCGGGACCCTCCCGGGCGGCACACCTTCTCCGTCAGCGCGCCCCCGGGCGGCCGCGTCCCGCTCTGCCCCGCAAAGTCCCGTTCCGTCTCCCGAGCCCCCAGCGCGCACCGACCTGGCAGGCTCTCGGGTTCGGCGCGCCCCGCAGACGATGGCCCCGTGTTCTGGCCCCAACCCGGGCCGCGCGGCGTGGACGCGGGCAGCGGACCGGGCCGGTCAAGGCAAGCTCTCCCCGGCGCGCCCCGCTCAGCCCGAGGCCAGGCCGGGGCGCGCGCGGGCGGCTCTGGGCGCGCGGGGCCGGGCGCCGTCGGCGCGGTGCGGGGCCAGGCGGGCGCACGGAGGGCGGCGCGCGGGGGCGGGGCGCGGGCAGGCCCGACTAATCCAGCCCCGAGGCGCGGATGGTGCGCACGGGGCCAGTGTCCGCGCCATCTCCGTGCGCCCCGGGCACCGGAGCCCCGGCTCCTCCCTCCGGGCCTCCGAGCAACAAGTGAGGAACGACGGCTGCCCAGTCACAGAGGGGAACGGAATCCGCGAAACGAGGTTGCTACCGCGGCCGGTGGCGAGCGGGGCTGGGAGGGCGCACGGGCCCAGCCAGGGAGGCAGCTGTGCTGCCCGAGCTCAGCAAGTGGGACCAGGTGACCATTTCCGGGCTTGGAAGACCTGGCCCAGGTCCCCAGAGAGCGCCCGGTTCATGTGCACGGGCCCGTGGTGTGCAGATGGCAGCCACGTGGGCTGGGCCGCCAATGCAGTAGAATTCATTGCGCACCACGTGGGGTGTGAAGCCTTTCCCTGCTGCTTGAATTATTTCCAACTCATCCGACAGGCATCCCCCTTGCCAGAAAACCCGCGCCTCCCCGAGTCCTGCTGCCTCTGCCTGGTGAGCAGGTGCCGCGGCCCTGGGCCCGTCTTGTGGCACAGCCACGGACTCAGAGCTGGAATTCGAGGCCAGCCGAGGGGCCTCCTCCAGGAGGTGCCCTGGCTGCAGCAGCTGGACCTCCAAGGCTGGTGCCCAGGGGCTGTCTGGCCCGGCTGGGTCAGCTGGCTGGGGGCCCTGTGCTGCAGGCACTTCTGTTTCTCTTGGGGTCCTCATGGTGCAGCCCCCGGGGACAGATGGGGGAGGGGAGAAAGACAGCTGGGGGTGCAGGCATCAAGTGGGTGCTGTGGGCTGGCCTCAGGGCTCAGCAGGGGGGAGCAGGGAAACCTGACTCAGGGCCTCCAGCACCTGCCCTGGAGCAGCGACCCACCGTCCTCTGACAGATGGAACTTCCATTTTCAATGTCAACCCCGAGGCCACCTCAGGCAGCTCGTCCTGGAAGAGGCTGTCCTTGGTGACATGCGGCGGCCAGGACACAGCCCTGAGCCCCACCTGCCCACACCTGGTCTGGTAGTAAAACGAGGCCTTGGGAGCCTGGGTCGGGCCTGCTCTTGCTTTAGTTTGGAAGGGGAAGCAGCTGGCAGGGCGCCGATAGCGAGAACACGCACGGTCCCAGGACGTCACTGCTCCGTGGGACAGGTGTGCTGGGAGCACACGCTGCCCAGGGCAGTGCCGGGTGCCGGGCTCCCACAGTGGAAGCGGCAAAGGCCACTAGCTCAGGGCTGCCACCTGCGAACAAGCTGTCAGCAAGCAGGCACAGGGGCCGGACTGGAGGTGTGGCCACGTGACAGGGACGCCCGTGGGCCTAGAGAAGAGTGAGGGCCTGCGCGGGCACAGGCTGTGTGGACAGGACTCTGCGGGCCTGCCCTGGAGCAGAGGCACATGCCAGGACCTCCTACACACGTACACGTGGCGTGACAGCCTCCATGCCGACGGGAGAACGTGAGTTCAGGGTGGGGAGCCCGTCCCCACGTCACATGCTCAGACCGCAGGAGCCCTGGCCGTCAGAGTCGCCCTCAGTGGGGCCGGGGGCTTGTTGCCTGGCCACACGGACCTAGGCCTAGATCAGTGCAGGAAGGAGGCTGGCTGGAGCAGGTGTCGTGCAGGAGCTGTCCCGGGGAGACCGAGGTGGGGCCCTGAGGGCACCTGAGCCCACCCCCTCCCTGCAGAGGCTGCTCCGGGCTAGATCTTGGCCGCTTGCAACCTAAAGCCCCTGGCCTCCTCACCACTTGCCCTAGGCCTCATCTCAGAAAGCACTGTCCACCCTGGCATCAGCCCCACCTGTGACTGGAAGACGACAATGCCCATCCTGGGAGCCATGGACACGCTCCGTGGGCGCAGAAGGGCCTGCAGGTGGGATTGGTTAGGGAGCCGGAGACAAGGGTGACCCTGGGTCACCTTAGGGCAGTGACTCCTCACAGAGTAATCATCATGGAGGTGGCATTAGCCAAGACGCATGGCAGCCACTCAGCTGGGAAGGGCAGGAGATGGGCCCCGCCCTGGGCACCTTGGTTCCAGCCAGGGAGTCCCGTGGCCAGTGGCTGCCCGGCCTCTGTGAGCAGTGGCTTGTTGTGGCGGCTGTGCGACACGGACCCCACCATGATCTGCCTCCCTGCCTCAGCCAGGTCCTGACTGCACCTGACGCGCATCTGCCCGGCCGTGGGGCCTTGCTGTCCCTGGGGGAGCATCTGAGCAGCCCCCTCCCGGGCCTGCCTGCGCTCGGCCCCTTGCTGAGCAGAGTCCACCCGTCTGCCTGTGTCTGTCTGCACTGGTGCTTCTGACGTGTGCAGGGCACCAGCCAGCACCCCGAGGTGGCCTGTGAGCCCCACGTCAGACACCTGCTCTGCCCTCGCCCTCACCTGCCCCCTCCAACAAGAAACAGGCAGAGAGGGGGCTTGCTGCAGGGTCTGGGTGGGATGGGGCCCATCCTGTCAGGCTCTCAAAACCAAGGCAACCATGAGCAGGACTCCAAACTCAGTATACCCAGCGCAGGCTAAGTTTTGAGTTGCTAGTTCTGCGCAGCCTCTGATGATGGCACAGACATCCAAAGACCCCTGGCAGAAAAGCCGTCCCCTCCCCACTGAAGGATCCCACCCAGTGCTGGGGGTGTTCCCTTCCTGGTGGGCGTCCCTGGAGGCCGTGGGGCTTGGCCTTGGCCGCGACCTGGGAGGTGGGACGGGCAGCTGGCACGTTTTCACACCCTATTTTTTCAGTAAGAAAGTGGTGAAGACACCAGTCCCAGACTGCCCAGGGAGCCACATGGCCACTGGCACTCACCGTGTCCCCACCAGGGCTGTGCCAGGGGTACTTAGCAGGCACCATGAGAAGGGGGTGCAGGAGGTGCCGTGGGGGGTGCAGGAGGCTCCATGGGGGGAGGGCGCAGGAGGCTCCGTGGGGGGAAGAGGGGGATGCAGGAGGCTCCATGGGGGGGAGTGGGGGTGCAGGAGGCTCCATGTGAGGGAGGGAGCATACAAGAGTCCTCATGAGGGGGAGGGGAAGGAGTGCAGAAGGCTCTGTGGGGAGAGTTGGGTACAGGAGGCTCCGTGGGGGGAATGGGGGTGCAGGAGGCTCCGTGGGGGGAGTGGGGGTGCAGGAGGCTCCGTGGGGGGGAGTGGGGGTGCAGGAGGCTCCGTGGGGGGAGTGGGGGTGCAGGAGGCTCCGTGGGGGGGAGTGGGGGTGCAGGAGGCTCCGTGGGGGGAGTGGGGGTGCAGGAGGCTCTGTGGGGGGAGTGGGGGATGCAGGAGGCTCTGTGGGGGGAGTGGGGGATGCAGGAGGCTCTGGGGGGGAGTGAGGGTGCAGGAGGCTCTGGGGGGAGTGGGGGTGCAGGAGGCTCCGTGGGGGGGAGTGGGGGTGCAGGAGGCTCCGTGGGGGAGTGGGGGATGCAGGAGGCTCTGGGGGGAGTGGGGGTGCAGGAGGCTCCGTGGGGGGAGTGGGGGATGCAGGAGGCTCTGGGGGGGAGTGAGGGTGCAGGAGGCTCTGGGGGGAGTGGGGGTGCAGGAGGCTCTGGGGGGGAGTGGGGGTACAGGAGGCTCCGTGGGGGGGAGTGGGGGTGCAGGAGGCTCCATGTGAGGGAGGGGGCATACAAGAGTCTTCATGAGGGGGAGGGAAAGGGGTGCAGAAGGCTCTGTGGGGAGAGTTGGGTGCAGGAGGCCCCGTGGGGGGGAGAGGGGGGTGCAGAAGGCCCTGTATGAGGGAGGGGGCATACAAGTCTTCATGAGGGGGAGGGGGATGCAGGAGGCTCCGTGTGAGGGAGGGGGCATACAAGAGTCTTTGTGAGGGGGAGGGGAAGGGGTGCAGGAGGCTCCATGGTGGGGAGTGGGGGATGCAGGAGGCTCCGTGGCAGGGAGAGGGGGGTGCAGGAGGCTCCGTGGGGAGAGGAGGCCCCGTCCACCGTGTGAGGACAGATGCCCACAGTGTGTCCTGATGTCTGGCAGAACTCACAGTGGTCCCTGAGGGTGGGCGAGGCCCCTAGCCTTCCTGGTGCCCAAGCCCCGGTCGCCAACCCTGCCAGCCTCCCCGTGACCCACCCGGAGCGCAGGTGGCCGTGCAGGGACTGCTGAGCAGCCCGCCCAGGTACGAGGAAAGGCTGAGCTCCCAGGCCCCCCGAGCCCCAGCTCCACTCCCACCCCAGTGCCCGTGTCCCCCGGACAAGAGCCCGCAGCGGTGGACAGATCCTGTCCACTCTGCCGCTGCACTCGCTCGCCGCGCAGCCAGGCACACAGGGCAGGGCTGCCTCTGCCGCCTCATCGCAGCTGCTGCCATGCCCCAGAGCGGGGGCCACGTGTGGCCACAGCCAGCCCAGCCCGTCCCCGCCTGTTTGCTCACCCAGAGGCAGCAAAGTGTGGGCCACAGTATCAGGTGGTGACGGTTCCTCCCCTCAGGGCTGGGGACAAGGCAGACTGCCTGGATGGTGCTGGGCTGATGGCCACACCCTGCTTGGCACACAGCCGGCACTTGAAAGACACTGCCGACCCCGGCTCCACTCACAGAGGGTCAGCAGTCGGCTAGCGACAAAGGCCCCTGAGCCCCAGGCCCAGCGGTGACCCTGGCCTTGCCGCTGCTGCAGGACTGCAGCCCCAGAGGTGGCCGCTGTGGTGGCTCCAGGAGGAACCTGCTCCTGTGCCCAGTGCCTGAACTGAGCGAGTCTGGGGGCCGGGGGACTCAGCCGTGCCTTAAAGGTGAGGGAGGCCACGCAGCTCAGGGGCCACAGTCCCCAGGGGCTCCCAACGGCAGCTTTGCTGGGGCAGCGCTCAGGGCTAACGGCCCCCAGCAGTTGGCTGGCCAGGAGCGAGGCTGGGTGCGGCCAGAAGGCACAGTGGCCCTGGCACAAGGCACCCCGTGTTGAGTGTTCACCCTGCAGTCAGAGAGCCTGGGTGGCCCACAGAGCAAAGCTGTCATCCTCCAAGGTGACACCCCCAGCTGGGAGAACCCCCACCAGCACCCACCAGCCTGCCTCGATCAAAAGGCAGGAGTAGGGGCCAGCACTCTGGCGAGTGGGTAAAGCCGCCGCCTGCAGTGCCGGCATCCCATATGGTCGCCAGTTCGAGTCCCGGCTGCTCCTCTTCTGGTCCAGCTCTCTGCTATGGCCTGGGAAAGCAGTAGAAGATGGCCCAGGTCCTTGGGCCCCTGCACCCACGTGGGAGACCTAGAGGAAGATCCTGGCTCCTGATTGGCACAGCTCCAGCTGTTGTGGCCATTTGGGGAGTGAACTAGCAAATGGAAGACCTTTCTCTCTCTCTCTGCCTTTCTAATAAATAAATCTTAAAAAAAAAAAAAACGCAGGAGGGGAGGGTTGGGCCTTACCTTGTCGTCCACACCACTCTCGCTGTCACACTGCAGGCAGAAAGAGAGAGAGAGAGAGGTGAGTGGGGCCTTCATACCTCCAGCGCCACCTGCCCGGGCACAGGACACATGATTATGGGAAAGGCGAGCCACAGGAGGGGTGGCAGTGGAAGAAGGAAGGGGCCCAGGACAGGGCTATGCTGGCCAGACCTCAAACCAGGCCCTGAGTGGGCAAAGAGGCCCCCCAGCGCCAGGACCCGAACCCAGGCGGCTTCACCAGTCAGCCCCACCTCCAACACAAGAAGCCCCAACCCCAAGCCAGCCTGGACTCCCTTGGGGCCCACCTATGTGGTGAGCTCTCTGGACAGAGGTCACGGGACCCCGGAACACAGCGGCTCCTCCCTCCTCCAGGAGGCCCCAGCTCCCTCACTCCTCAGGCAAGTACGAGGGGCAGCCGGGGACGCCAGGCCCAGGCCAGCCTGTGGCTGCGGTCAGGTGGCACAGCCGCGAGGGAGGAGTTTGCGTCACGGCCTGGGAACCGCAGCAGCTCTCTGGAAGAGCTGAGGGAAAGAAGCAGCTGTGGGTACGTCGTGCTCACGTCCATTGAGCCATGGCCAAGGGCACAGCCCTGCAGGACGCACAGGGGCTGACCCTGAACACCGGCTGCGACTGCCCACTCTACCTGCCACTTGCCGCAGCCGGACAGCGCCTCTGCTGCTCAGGCACGAGTGACCTGCACCGCAGGCTTGCCCTGGAGGGACCCTGGCCCAGAAGTGCCGTCCACATGGCGCTGTCCCTGCTCTGCACACTGGACTCGGGGGCTGGTGAGGAGATCCAGGCAGGACTGCCAGGCTCTGAGGAACAGCATGTGGGTGTGGGGGAGGAGGCTGACCACACACTGAGCTCGCCTGGCTGGGCTGAGAGCAGGGGTTGCAGCCTAGGGCGGGGGAGTTGACCGGGCTGCCTTGGGAGAGGCCTGCAGGGCTGTCAGGTTCCTGCCTGGCCTCTGAGCTCTGCCAGCGCCCACCGTGGGGGAAGATGGCAGCTCACGAAGATCTAGAACGTTGTCCAGAGTCCCCGCGGCGTTGGGTTTACTGCACCCAAGGTGAGCGCAGATCTCAGAACCAAGCACACAGCAGGAACATGAGCCAGGCCCGGGCATGGCTGGCGTCTGCTGGACCAAGGCTGGACAAGGCCACCTTCACAGCAGCGGGGAAGGAGCTGCCTGAGGGGTCTCCGTGGGGATGGGGATGGGACTGGGCAGCGGCCTGGGGGCCACCTCGGCTGGGCCACCCTGGGTGAGTCCCGCAGCGTCTCCACGCGTTCACGCCTCTGTGAGACAGGACAGCAGCCGTCTCCAGGGTTGCTGTGCAGGCCGGACACAGGGCGGTGCGGGGCACGTGCCAGCCGGTGTGCACCCTGCCACGCGGCTCAGCCAGGCTGTGTCCCCCTGCCCCGGGGCAGAATGGGTACAGTGAGGCAGGGGATCAGTGCCCACGGACGTTCACTCCACACCACGAGGCCCTGGACCTTCCTCCCCAGCCTCCCCTTACCCTGGGATGCCAAGGGAGGGGGACCTGAGGAGCATGGGAGTGCCAGGGCCTGTGTGAGTCCTGGCTCTGACCGTGACAGGTGAGGAGCAGGCCAAGGCTAGGAAGTGGCACTGGCCCATTTCACAGAAGAGAAAATAGAGGCTCTGAGGGTAAAAGGATTGACCATGGCCACATGGCTGGCCCGATGGGGCTCAGAGATGAGTCCAGGCCTTGGAACTGGGGGCCTGAGCTCTACCCAGTGCAGGCAGCACTCTGGGCCTGCAGAACTGGTGAGGGTGGGGCAAGGAGGGGAGCCCTCCTACCCACTGTGAGGGACCCCACCCAGGTGGCCTGTGTTGTGGTGGCGTCCCTGGGGAGGCCTGAGCCTGGTTCTGGTGCTGCCACTGTGAGCCCAGGGACAGCTCTACAAATGCCAGAAGCAGTCCTGAAGCAAAGATGACCGACAGGGACCAGCACCGAGGCCCGGGCAGTGTGGTTTCCCGGGAACTGGAGGAAGGTGGCTCCTAGGGCTAAACAGATGCCCCCCGCCCATACCACGTGGCTTCTCGGGATCCCAGGGCAAGGGGTCGGGGAGACCACAGCTGCCTCCTGCCTCCACGCAGTGGACAGAGACTCTGGCTCCAGGGGACACAGGAGGCCGGAGAGGGGCAGGGGAGGAAGCAGAGTGGACCTACAGCAGGGCTGCAGTGGCAGGACTGGGACCGAGGGTGCAGGTGGCCAGGCAGGGCCAGACATGGTAGGAGCTGCGGGCAGCCACGAGGGCCGCTGGCAGGAGCTGGTATGCTGGGAGCGTCGGCCGACCTCTCACCTTCCTCCTGTCTAGCCTTGACGCCCGATGGCCTGGAGGACTCGTCTGCCTGGCCTGGCATAGGGGCCCCACCCTACAGTGTGTGGCAGCCCACCCAGGGCACAGCTGGAGGGGGTGGGGCCTGAGCCCTGAATACAGGCTCTGCGGCCCCAGGAGTGAAATCAAATCCACACCTGATGAGATTTGCAGACAACGGAGGGTCCCGAACACTTTAAAGCACCGGGCCCGTGTGTGGCGCAGTGGGTAAAGCCGCTTGTCCCCTATGGGTGCCGGTTCCCATTTAGGCTGCCTTGCTTCTGGCCCAGCTCCCTACTTAATGGCCTGGGAGAAGTTGGGGAAGATGACCCGAGCGCTTGGGCCTCGGCGACCCCTGTGGGAGACCCAGATGAAGCTCTTTGCTCCTGGCTTTGGCATGGCCCAGCCCTGGCCGTTGAGGCCATTGTGGAGAGAACCAGCAGCCCTTTCTCTGTCTCCCCAACTCTGACTTTCAAAAGAAAGAAGTCTTAACAAAGAAAGGAAGCACAGTGAGGGACTAAGTGCCCATTCAGCAAGCACTGAGGTTACTCGGCCTCCTGGGCAGGCCTGGCCGTGGGCGCCCTGTGCTTCCCCAGTGGCCTGGCCCTGCCCTCCGGGGCCTCCCACCTACATCGGCCCTTCCTGCCCGAGGCACGGTGGGCAGTGAGTCCATGGGGACGTGGTGCTGGCGTTTCTCCCTGCTGGCCCTAGGCCTCCTGGAGCACCCCTGGACTGGCCTTGGGGGCGGTATCTGAGGGGACCTGTGTGCCGTGGGGCCTGGGACGACAGGGAAACCAGCCCGGAGAACAGCCGCCCCTCCCCACTTGCCTCAACTCTCAACTCATCAACAGGAAAACGGTTTGGGGCTCCTTCCAGCCACACACAAGCTCATCTGAGGGGCCCCCAAAGGTGGCCGGGGTGGCTCCTGTCCCGTCCTTGGCTGTCAGCATGGGGCCCTCACACCACGCCACACGCGAGAGCCCTGCCCTGCCCGATAGTGCTTGTGCCAGGCTGGTCTCCTCAAGGCACGTGCAGGGCCCAAGCCAGATACTGTCTTCACGCTGTCCCTGTGGTCACCAGGACTGGGGCACTCAGCGCGGGGGCTGTCCTGCAAGGGCGTGTGGCCCGGTGCCTCACATTCTGGGAAGCTCTGGGGTCGGAGCAGACCTGTTCCACACACACTCTGACCTAACCCTGCTCTGAAAACTGCGAGGCTACTTTGCACTTGCTCGGATGCCGACTCCTCTGCCTGCCCGGGGCGGTGCGCCCCGTCTCAGAGGCACGTCACCGACGGCGCAGATGCTTGCTTTTAGTTCCGTGTCTCCAGCTACAGGGTGGGTTTTGTCCCCTACGCTCACTGTGACTGGTGAGGTGGGGGGACCCCTGTTCCCCAGGCTGTCCTGCACCCCGATGAGTCCCAGCCGTGCCTGCCTCGCCAGGTGACCGTGGTGAAGTGTGCACAGGTCACATGGGCACAGCGAGGTGGGTGCCCGCTGGCCCGAGCTCCCTCTCTTGGACACTGTGCAAGGCCTGGGCTCTGTGAGCTTTCTCCAACCCTCTGAAAACCTGGGTCCCTGCACCCGGGCAGCCCGCCCACGCTCCTTTTCTCCTAGCCTCCTTGAGCACGCAGCCGGCTGGCACAGAATGACTAGGGCCTGTGTCAGAGGGGAGGCTCGCCCACCACAGCTGTGCTGGCGGAGGCCTGCACATCATTTATGACCAGGGGCTTCACCAGGGGCGGGGCTAATGCCTTGCCCCAGGACCGGCCTGGGTGGCCCCTCGTGCAGCTCATGCAGACACCCTGGGGTCTTCCCCACCAGGGCCCTGGGGCGCGGGGCCAGGTGGCTCACCCGGGTGCATGAGGTCCTGAGCCCCCAAGTGCACAGGTGGGAGGGCGTGGGTGGAGGTCTCTTGGCCCCCAGCTGCTCTGGGCTGCTCATGGGCCGGGGGACTGGCCGCCTGGCAACGACAGCAGTCACGTGGGCCAGGCTGAAGGACTCCCACAGGGCTGCAGCTCCGCAGGCGATGCCCCACCTCCCCCGTAACCCACTGACCAGTCTGCAGGGGTCAGAGGGCACAGCAGCCCGGGGTGGGGGGCAGTTCCTGGGACAGGGGCAGGCCCAGTGGGCGGAGCCTTGGCCAAGGCGCCCTCTGTCCTGCAGCTGGAGGGGCAAGAGGCTCCCAGGGCTGGGGAGGCACCTGGCACGGCCCCTCCTGGTGTCCATGGCCAACATCCAGTGCTGCCCAGGGCAGTGGCTTGGCTCCACCATCTCGAAGGCCCATGGGGAGGAACTGGGCAGCCTGCCTGGGCCTGGCGGGGAAGTGGTGCCTCAGCCACCATGAGGGACTTCCCGATTCCTGAGCTGCACAGACAGCTGGACGGGCCGGAAGCAGGACACCGACACCCTCACCGCAGCGAGGCGGCGGCCTGGGGTGATGGTTCTGAAGGAGAGGCGGAGGGTGGGGGAGAGCGATGGACATGCAGGCGCCCCCGGAGCCTGGGCTGCTCTGGGACAGCTTTGCCCAGCAGGAAGTGGCAGCAGAGAGCCTGGAGCCCGGCAACCACCACCTGGGAGGCCTGGCTGACCACCCCGAGGGGGCCCAGCGGAGGTTCTGGTCAGCTGCGGTCCCCAGTGGTGGCACGGCGGGCGGGTTCTGGCTGTGTCTCACTTGTGGGCCGTTATCCTTCTGAAACAAAATACTCTGGGCTGGGGGTGGGGTCCAAGTTGAGGCAGCAGGAATGGCTCAGGAAATTGGGTTCCTGGCCCTCTGCGCTGGCGCCCGGCCGGGCCCTAGGGTTGCAGGCATTTGGGGAGTGAACCCACAGAGGGGATCTCGCCATCTCTGTCCCTCCCTCTCGTGCTCGCTCAGCCGTCACTAAGACAATGTGGCTCCTGCCTTCAGCAAGAAGCTGGCTGGTTTTATTGCTTTTGTACACACGACAGCCACTCTGAAGAGGCCCACGGCAGGAAGTATAGTGAATGCCACAAGCCTTCCTCAGGAAGACAGTGCCACGGAGGCGCCACGCGTGGGCACCCCCAGGACTCAGGAAGGGGTGAGGGAGCCCTGGCCCTCACTGCACTGCCCTGTCTGATGCTTCAGGGGCAGGGGCAGTGGGGGAGGGGCCCGGCCCACTGCTGCAGTAGAAGGGACAGCCCCAGCCACACCTGCTCATGACGCCCCTGGGGGATGGGGCGGGGGGCTCCCCAGGCCCACGTCACACACAGGAAACTGAGACTCGGGGGCGGCATGGTGCACCCAGGTTCCTGCAGGATGGGCGCCTGGCTGCTCACAGACACCTGCACCGTCTACCTTCCTGCACGGCTGGCCAGGGAGGGGCTGGGCTCTTCCACGGAGGATTTGTCCTCAGTGGCCCCTCGGGGACTCAGGAGCAAAGCAGCCATCCTGAGACCAGGAGCCGCCTCCGTGGGACTGCACTGTGGGGTGCTGAGGGCTGGCCCGCTGTGGTCTGCAAGGTACCCTCCCCCACCCAGAGCACAACAAGCCCATGGCGGAGGCGGAGTTGAGGTGCCAGGCCAGAGGGGAGGCGGGGCCTGGGAGCAGGAGCACCAACAGCAAGGGCCAGCAGCAGGGACTCTCCCACCAGCTGGAGTTGGGGGAGGTGCCTGTCCTCAGCAGGGGACAGGCCTGGGGGCCCCTGAGTGCAGCCTCAAGCTCGTCACCAGGCAGTCTGCACCCGGCTGCTCTTCCACTCCCCTGCATGCTGCAGAGGGAGACCCTCCTGCACATGGCGGGTGCAGGGGCTGGGCAGGGCCTGCTCGGAGCTGGGGAGGCCTCCCGCCTCTGCCGCAAACCACAGCCCCCACGCCTAAGGGCTCCTGGCCTCAAGTCCCCCCTCTGCCTCTCCCTCAGCCTGACTTGTTCTGTAAGATAAGGTGTGGGGGCCAGCACTGTGGCCCAGGCCTGCAGCACCAACATCCCATATGAGGGTCGGTTCGTGTCCCAGCTGCTCCTCTTCTGGTCCAGCTCTCTGCTGTGGCCTGGGAAAGCAGTAGAAGATGGCCCAAGTCCTTGGGCCCCTGCACCCACGTGGGAGACCTGGAAGAAGCTCCCGGCTCCTGGCTTCGGATCAGCTCAGCCCTGGCCATTGCGGTCATTTGGGGGAATGAACCAGTGGATGGAAGACCTCTCTCTCTCCTGGTTCTACCTCTCTCTGTAACTCTGCCTTTCAAATAAATAAGATAAGGAGTGGGGGTGTGGTGCTGGGTGCAGCAGACTAAGCCAGCACCCGTGATGCCGCCATCCCACACGGGCGCTGGTTCCAGCCCCGGCTGCTCCATTTCCTTTCCAGCTCCCTGCTAATGCACCTGGGAACGCAGCAGCAGATACAGCCCTGGCCATTGCAGCCATCCGGGAGCGAACCAGTGGATGGTAGCGCACGCGCGCTCTCTCTCTGTAACTCTCTTTCAAATAAATAAATAAAAATACAATTAAAAATAAAATACGGTGGGGACGTCAAGGCTGTGACACTGCTACCTCCTGGCCCTTGCCTGTGGGCCCCAGTCCCATGGCCGTCACGTGGCACGTGGGCACAGCAGCCCCCAGAGGCCCCTGCGGGCACAACCCGAGCCCCACCCGGGCGCCCCTGTGCTGCGTGCACAGACTGACGGCCCTCACCCCACCCTCTGCGCCACCAGTGCTGGGGTGAGGGGCAGCAGGGGAGACAAGCCGGCCCTGGGGACGCAGGCGTCCTAACGGGCAGCTCAACCGCGAGGACAGCACTGCCCCTCGTAAGCGTGGCCTGTGAGCCCTGCCCAGCCCTGCACTGTCCTGGACCATCCAGCGTGCATGCCTGAACCACAGTGCCTGCGGGAGGTGGGCGGAGGAGGGAATGAGCCCATCTACAGCCCAGCCGAGAGCACCAAGCCTGCACAGACTGGAGGGACTGGCAAAGGCCCTTGAAGGTGCCGGGGCCCCCAGGCAGCAGCTAAGTCCTGATACGAGCCGGGCCTGGGGCTTCAGGGCGGCCAGAGCATGTGTGCCGGGCCACGGCCAGGGCTTTGGTTCTCAGGCCCAGGCCTTTGAGCCTGGCTGGGCCTCCGCGTCCTTGTGCAGAGCCCGGCAACACCAGGCCTTGAACATCCCCTCAGAGGGCTGGTGAGTGCCCCCAGCCATGACAACTGCTGCAGGGCCCAGGGTCCAAGCAGGGCGGCCCCCAGCGGGCAGGGGCAGGTACAGAGACTGCCCGGCAGAGGGGCAGGCTCATCTCGGAAGTAACGCGGGCCCCAGCTCCCACCATGGGGACCACAGACCCCTGTGCTTTCAGTCACAAGCTTCCAAATCAGCAAATGACCCTCATTCACCTCACGGTGCCAACCATCTCTGACGGCAGCTGGCGAGGCCACACCGAGCTCTGGGGACAAGCACAAACCAGAGGTCCGCAGGGGTCGATCTTGCCAGGCTGGGCCTCCCCACCCAGTGCAGGGACTGTGGGAGGGGAGCCAGGCTGAGGGTCCCCAGGGGGCCTGAGGTGCCAGTCACAGACACACACAGGTGGCAAGGGGTGCACACAGCACACCCCCCAGACATGTGATGGCATGTGGCCACAGACACACACATGTGCCTGAGCACCCGGGACGCTCCAAGCAGCACACACAGCCACAGACGCAGAAACGCAGGTCCATGCGGGATAGACACACAGGTGTGCAGGGACACAGACACAGACACAGAGAGACACGCAGGTCTAGAGAGAATCACAGGTCACCTCTGCTCAAGGCGTGCACAGCTCCACACAGGCTGCACCGCACACACACATGTCAACACACAGGCATGCACAGACAGAGCCAAACACACACATGTACACACGCAGGTGCACACACAATGTCAGCCCCACCCCGAGTGTGCACTCAGGTGTCTGAGGGTCCTACGAGAGTCCTGACCAGGAAACGGGGCCGTGGCCTCCCTAAGCCTGGACCTTCTAGCCCTCTGCCTACTTTGGGCCCCACCTGTCTGGGACCCTGCTGCCCACTTCCTCTGGGCACAGGTCACCTGAGCCGGCCCCAGGAAGGCTGGGCCTCCACCTGCTGGGGGCAGGGAGACCACTCCTGAAAAGGCAGGGCCCTGCTCCCAGCTGTCCACCTGGGGCCTGGACTCCCACCCGCAGCAGCTGGAGAGCGCCCATGAGCTGGTGACAGTCTGTGGGGACGAGGCCACCAGGGCCAGAGTTGACCATCTGTACTGGCTCATGGCACGGGGCCCGTCTGCGTGCACCAGGATCCTTCTGAACACAGCAGAGTGCCGGTGCGCACCCAGGACCACCTGTAGATCGCAGGGGTCCTCCCAGGGTCCCCTGCTCTGACGGGCGTCCCCGGCCTGCGCTGCAGCACGGCCCCTCCCCGCCACCATCTGTCGAGCAGCTGGCAGGCTCATCACCGGTTTCTCCAGGGAACACTCAAAGCCATGTTGGGGGAGGAAACCTGCAGACAGAGGGGTCACCCAGTGGTCAAGGCCCCAGCCACCTGAGGACCGCAGCTGGGCTGCCTCACGGGAGCGTCCCAGTGTCCAGCCACTCTGGCCTCTCCAGGACACGTGTATGCCTCCCTGGCAGCCGGAGCTCAAGACCCACGCCTCACCCTAGGCATGCTCAGTCCTGGCATGGGGGACCCCACATTCTTCCTGGCCATGGGAATCGGGTGTGGAGACCCGGCTCAGCTCTCACCAGCCTCCCAGAGTGCTCCCACCCCACCCTCGCTCGCACTGCCTCTGCCCCGGCCTCCCCCCACAGACCCCCCACCACCACCACCACCACACAGCACGGTGCAGGCACAGCCCCACTGGCAGCTCCCAGGAGCCAAGTGCGTGATGACATGGCTGACCGCACCACCCATGGGGACACCAAGGACAAGGCGCCCTGTCTCAAGTCCTGACGAGGGGCCACTGTCCCCGAAGGAGGCGAGCCTGGCTGCTCCGGGAGGAGGTGAAAGGCTGAAGGTGGGCCCAGGGCTCCTCGGGAAAGGGGCCGGCGTGGGGGCGGGCTAGGCCATGGTCACACACGGCCGCTCACTCCTGCTCCTCACAGTGGCAGGGGCTGTGGGGGGCTGTGCCGCCAGCACATGCCAACTGGGGCAGCCCTCCCAGGCAATTAACGGGTTAATTACATGCCCCATAAAGGCAGCTGTGCTTTAGAGGAGCGCAGGCTGCTGGGATAATGGGCAGAGTCCAAGCCCCACCCTCCAACAGCCAAAGGGGCTGAGAGCTGCAGAAGGGGCTTCTGGCGCTGGGTCCTGTGACGTCACCAACGTCTGCTACTCGAGGGAGAAAGAAAGGAAGGTGGGAGGAGGGTGCAGGGGCCGGGCTCTGCCCAGGGACGTGGGACAGGCACTGGCAGAGACACGTGGAGCCCAGGTCTCTCAGGCTGGTCCAAGGAGGGAGGGGTCGGGTGGGGAGGACAGCTGCCCACAGCTCCCAGGTTCCCAGAGGACCCCGGAACTGCATCCTGACCTCCCTGCTCCCCAGAGCCCTTGCCCAGCCCGCCCCCCGGCAGCCTCGTCCACCCTGTGCCCACCCCACTGTTGCAGGGACCAGAACAAGCTGGGGCTCCGGAGGGGCAGGGTGCAGGGGCTGCGCACCCAGGTCAGGGAGCCACTGGGTACGTGAGCCGGGAGACTTACGGAGTAGCCTCTCCCGGAGACCGCCTGTGCCGAGCTCTGTGGAGGGAGGAAGAAGCGGTCAGAGCCCTGTCCCCGACAGCTCCCGCTGCTGCAGCAGGGACCCAACCAGCCAGTCACACCCTCCCCTCCGTGAGGGCTGCAGCCACGGGGAGGAAGACAAGAGCTGCGCCAGTGGGACCCACCGCCTGCTGGGACGCCGCCTGGGGCCTGGCCCGTGAGCCTGTCTCTGGCCCAGCAGGGGCTGGTGGCCTGGGAGAGGCCCCCACACCAGCACCCTCGGTGGGTCCACGGCCCTCCTAGGGGCAAGGCCCTGCTGGGCACGCCCCTCCAGGGAGGCAGGGAGACTGTGGGGCCCAGAATCTCAGCCCTGGGTCCAAGCCCCACACCTCCCCCACTTCCTCCCTGTGCTGGGAAGCCGGGGAGCTCCCTCTGGTTCAAGTGGGCCTGAGGCCTGTCCGGATGACTGTTGGGCCCTCCAGCCGCAGGGCCTCCCCCAGCCTGCTCTCCCATCTGTGGCAATGGGGCCGGGAGCAGCGCAGGCATGGCTGACGTGAGGATGAGGCTGCTCACTCAGCCCAGTCCTGCAGAACACGAGTACTGCCCTCCTCCCCTGCAGGAGCTGGGTCTGACCCCTCTGCCCCCCCAGCCCCTGGTCCCCATCACACCCCTGCAGTGAGCCCCCCACACCCCGCGAGGTAAGCTCTGAGCCTGAGCCCTGGGTGTGGGTCCTGGTCACTGACAGCTCCTGCCTGGCCTTCCCAGCTCCGGGCCCCTCACTGTGACTGCTGGCTGTCCCCTGGGGACCCGGGGGTCTGTTTCCTCAGCGCTCCATGCCCCTCCGCCCGGCAGTGTCAGCCCCTACACAGAATCGGTGCAGGCGCACGAGAACAGCCGCCCACCTAACAGCTCCAGGCCAGCTCAAGGTAGCGAAAGCACTTGTAATGACGTGATAACGCGTCTCTCGCCCAGGCCACCCGAGGCTGGCGTGTCTGTCCTGCCTGCTCTCCTGCTCCCACCACGGCCGCCAGCCACGGGCCATGGCCAGGGCCAGGTTACCCTTTCACACGGGCTCCCGTGCAGGCGACTGCTGTCCGTGAGGAGCCGGCTGTGGCGAGGGCAGCGAGCTCACCGCCAGCACCACGCCTCCGCGTGACGTGACCTCCCCAGGGTGCTGGGGGCTACTCACGTCACTGAGCTGGTCCCGGGAGCTGCTGCGCTGGGAGCTGGTGGCTTCTAGGATGCTGTCCTCGTCACTGTTCCGGTCGCCCCCTCTGGACATGGCCACCTTCACCTGGGGCAGGGAGAGACACCGGCTCAGGCAAACACACACCTGACCCTGCCGGCGCCGAGCCGCCGGCCGGGGTTGTGTGCACTCTCCTCGCCGCTGACCCCAGCCCTGAGGATGTGGTGCACTGCTGTGGGCAGGGTCCCTGAGGGCCTGCGGCCTGGGGGGAGGGGCAGCAGGACGGGCAGAGCTCGCCAGGGGAGCAAGCCACTCCCGCCGTCCCCAGCCCTCTCATCCCTGAGGTGGGACAGACCCAGAAGAGGAAATGGCACCAAGTGACAAGTGACATCGGAACACTTATCAGCTCTGTCCTCCGACGTCCACGGTGAACCCACAGGGTCCAGTGAGGCAAAGGTCCCCGGTGGAGGTGGACTGGGTGGGGAAGATGGGGCCAGGGTCCCTGCTGCTGAACCCAGCCCAGCCCCTAAAAGCCACCAGGTGTCACCATCCTCTGGGCCCGGCACAGTCTCTGCACAGGCAGAAAACTCCTGTTGAGTGACAGCTGCTGGCCCTGCTGGACGTCAGTGGACTCAGGGTCCGTGAGTCTGTGCAGGGAAGCAGGACCTGAACCCTAACCTGGCACTTCTCTAAGCGGGGTCCCTGGACCAGCAGGTCAGCAGCACCTGGGAGCTGGTCAGGGCACCTGTCAGTGGCAGCAGGGAGGGCTGGGACGCGGGGTGCCTGTGCTCTCTGCACAAGGACCAGCAGGGGAAGGTGGAAGCGAGGCTTGGAACACACATGCCTGCTGCCCAGGGCGGAGGCGGGCGGCTCGCTGCTTCACACACCTGGCACGGGGACAGCTTGCTCTGACTCCAGGGTGCAGTCTGGCAGGCTCCAGAGTCCCACCTCCCTGGGCCCCTGCCACCCACGGGAGCACCTGGAGGCCCTCTCCTCAGCACGGGTGCCCGGCCCTCCCCTCTAAACCGGGGAGCCGAGTGGGTGTGGCTGTGTGTAGTCTGGGCCTCCCTCCCCTGCTCTGAGGTTGCCTCCAAGGCCACAGCTCCCTGCCCAGCCCTGTGGCCCTGGCCAGGGCAGACCTCCCGCCTGCCGGGCTGCTCACTCAGCACAGCAGGGGGCAAGGCTGACAGCGGGTCACGTGGTCAGTGGCCCTAAGAGCCTCCCCTCCAGCGTTGGCACCACAGCCTGTGCCTCGGGCCCTTCCCCCTCCACCCTGGGGCCGAGGGGGACCCCACACGTCCCAGGACGAAAGGCACCACGTGCACATCTGACTTGGGTGTGAGGGTGGAGGAGGAGGCCGCCATGGCTCAAAGTTTGCTGTGGTCCTGGGACATTTCTCTTCACCTCTGGGGTCCTCCCCTGTGGTGCGCTGGCCCCCGGGGGTGGGGGCGGAGGAAGCAGCAGCTCCACATCAGCCCACTCTCTCAGGCCTGGGCCCCCCTAGTGTCTCCCCGCTAAGGCACAGCTGTGGTCTTGCTCTTGCCGCAGGCAGGGGTGGGAAGTGACAGGTGGGAGTTTGGGGCACAGGCCCCAGGCCAAGGGGAGAGGGGAGCAGAGCCTCGGGGATCCCACACTGGAAGGTGTGGGGTCCTCAAGAGAGAGGCCAGCAGTGCTCGCGAGCCTCACCAAGCTGACCTACGGCCCCTCCCGTCAGGTCCCTGGCCCACAGCAGATCAAGCTCAGCAGGACCCGGCTTCGTCCTGCCAGGCGGCACAGGTCTGTCCCCGGCTGTGGGCATCCAGGATGGGGTGGGAGCTGCAGCCTGCGACCCTCCAAGTCACAGGGGCCCTCCCTGTCCTTTCTGGGCGGAGCGAGTCCAGACAGGACACTGTGAGGGGTGGGAAAGGACATGGGACACGGCGGCAGCGTGACCCAGACAGGCGCCCGCCACAGCACAGGCAGTGCTTGTGCCCCACGGGTGACGGGGTGGGGGTGGGGCAGGTCAGGCCCCTGGCACCAGACCTGCTGCTGAGCGAGGGAGGCCTGGCCCACAGCCCGGTGAGGTACGGGACACGGCCTGGGGTGCGGAGGGGACAAGTCCCGTGTCAGGGAGGGGAGCCCAGTGGGGATGCCACCCGTGTCCATGGCCTAAGAGCTCACACAAAGGCTGACTTGCCAACCTCCCAAGCCCTTAGCAACTGGCACCCACCAAACTGGCCATCGGTCTAATAGGCTAGGCGATGCCCAAGACCAGTGGGCAGCATTTGCCTGCAGGCTGGGGAGTCCCAGAGTCCTCTCACAGGCCCCAGCCTCACCTAGGGGAAGCAGCTGCCTCTCGGGCTGGTGGCCGAACACACTGGCTACAGACAGGACCCGAGGGCGAGCCAGGCAGAGGCCCTCGCGGGCCGTGTGGGGATTTCCTGAGGCATCCCTGCTCGAAGGGGGAAGGCAACCCTCAGCCCCCAGAAGCAAGCCTGCAGGACACAGTCAGGCACACGGGTCCACACGCGTGCATGCGCCCCTATGGAATCAGGGCACACGTGGGGCCACACATGGACCCCAACCTGCCTGGTGACCTGCTGGCCCCAGGTGCACCCAGACACAAGGGCCCCACGAATGCCACAGGCTCACTCCCAGATGCTGCGCTCCTGCCCTGGGTGCACGCTCTCCTGCCCACAGCGCACAGAGGTGCAGGACACACAAGGCCCCCTCCGAGCCCGTGTGCAGGCTGAGCGGAGGGTGCCGCCCTGGCAAGCACGCTCCACAGGCAGAGCTGCAGAGGCGGCAGCCCCGGCGTCTCCCACGTGGGCTAACACCCGGGGGGCACTCACGCCCGGATGAGGCCACCAGCTCAGCCTGCGTCCTGCCTGGCTGCCCTCTGCGCTGTGGGCCTGGGGGGAGGAGGGGGCACCTGCTCCCAGCAATGAGGGGCAGGGGCGAGCCCACTTGGTGGCGGCTCCCTCAGACTGGCCAGGCCTCAGGCAGGTCTATGGGAGGGGGGACCCTGGAACCCTGCGTTGGGCTGGGCTACTGTCCTGGCAGAAGACAGGAACCAGCGCCCCAGGATCCACTCCAGCTGTCTCTCCGTGTCCACATGGACACAGAGTCTGCTCACACGAGTGGCCATCTGGTCCCCCCAGTCTCCACCCACTTCCTCTTAGGACATACACCCCCTCCCGGGGCACTGGCTCTCAGCCCTGGTGCATGCTGGTTCCCTGGGGACTTCAGAAACTCCTGGCTCTCCAGGGCCACAAGCCCTGCCAAGCGGCCTGCCATGACGGTGGCTTCTTGGCCATGAGCTGAGCAGAGGCCTGCGCTGGGCTGCATTGTCTGGGGCTGGGGGTAAAGAGGCTGAGGGGGCTGGGCTGGGCTCACTCAAGGGACGCGCGTCCCAGGCGTGTTCTGGGAGTTCCTGCAGCAGGTGCCGGTGACGCTGTCCTCATCCTGCCCCGCCCCCACAAACAGGCTGCTCCTGTGCTCTGGAACCCCCCAGGGGCAGGGTCCCAGCGCTCTGCCCACAAAGCCCTCGAGTGTGCCCAGGCCCGCCTGACCCCCATGGGCTCTCACACCTGGGGAGGCTGAGTCTGGCCACCCAGGACTGCTGCATGCTCACCCTGCCCCTTTCTCCCGCTGCAGGTGGCACCAGGTGCACGTCAGGCTCTGTACTAGGCGCCCTCCCACTAGCACTCCAAGGGCAGGGTCTGCTGCAAGCAGGCCTGGGCGCAAGGAAGGCCGCGTCCCTGACAGCATCCAGCCCAGCAAAGCTGCCGGCTTCACATACAGTCCACCAGCCACCCTCACACAAGCAGGGAGGCCGCAGCCGGGCACCCAGGCTGGGGCTGGCTCTGCACCGGGGCAGCGCCTTCTGGGAGCACTGGACACTACACGCCCTGCAGGGAGGACAACGCCCTCATGGCTCCAGAAATGGGCAACTTGACGGCGTCCTCCGGGCTGACTCTGCTCGGGCTGGAGCCTTGCTCCCTCCCGAAGCCTTCCTGGTGCTCCACCCACCCCTGTGAGCCAGGACAAGGCAGGTTCCCATGGGTTCTTTCCACAGTCCCTCTGGAAGCAGTGTGACTGCCTGTGTGCTGGTCCCCCGTCAGACTGGTGCCCAGGAGGCACGGGCAGCCTCGCCCTGCCTACTCAGCTTGGGAGGCTGTGTGCTGGGGATCCAGGCCGAGTGTCCCCAGACTCAGCAGTGTCGGTGGCAAGCCTCTTACAACTGTTCTACATTCCTTCAGGACTTGATGGGTGAACACACAGGTAGGTGGACAGATGTGTGCATGTACAGATGGAGGGGACGGATAGGACGATGGACAGAAAGAATGGTGGGCAGGAGGATGGGTGGATAGGACTGGTGGATGGATGGATAGGACTGGTGGATGGATAGATGGACAGGTGGATGGATAGATGGACAGGTGGATGTATGGATAGGACTGGTGGATGGATGGACAGGTGAATGTATGGATAGGACTGGTGGATGGATAGATGGACAGGTGGATGGGTGGGTGTATGGATAGGATTGGTGGATGGATAAATGGAGAGGTGGATGGGTGGGTGGACAGGAGGATGCGTGGATGGCCGGATGGATCTGCAGCTCCCTATCAGGTGGGTTCCCACTTCCTGGGGGAGAGGTGGAAGCTGTAAAGCACGGATGCCATCAGACCTGGAGCTGGGACTCCTGGCTCCATCTGGGGCCCACCACTCTGGCCAGGCACCTAAGTCACTCCATCTCAGTTGGTGTCTCCACTCAGCCAATGGACTGATGATCTAAGCCAACCCCTCCTCCACTTCCTCCTGACTGCTGTGTAGCCCCCCTGGTGTCCCCCTCCATGCTGGCCTGGACTCTCCAGCACCATACCACTCCCCTGCTCAAGGCCCCAGGCTTTCTGCACCAGAGTTAGACGCACCGTGGGGACCACGCCCTCTTGGTCTCAAAGGCTGTGCCCTGCCTTTGCTGCGTGCCCTGCTGTGCACCTCCCCAGCTACAGCTCTATTTCACAAAGGACAGCACCTGCCTGGCTCACTGCTGCCCCCAGAGCTTCGAGCAAGGACCAGCGCTCCAAGAAGTGTGGAATCAGAAGTTACTGCATGCACCCCATGGCACG